AGAAAGAGAGAAAGAGAGTGAAAGAAGTGAAAGAACAGAGAGAGACAGAGAGCGATGAGAGAGAGAGGAGAGAGATAGAGAGAGAGAGAGCGAGAGAGCTGATCTATATAGAGGCTATAGATCTATAGGAGAGAAGAGAGAGAGAAGAGAGAGCCAAGAGTGTGTGAGGGGCCTTGCTCGGACACGGCCCACAAATCCACAAATTCCCTGCATGTCATCATTGCAACGCAAAAGCAAATCCCTAACACCCCCACCCCACTAAGCTTTTACTATGGAAAACTGAAACTGGGCCTGCTCAATTGGGTCCATCTGTTTACTCTCTGCTCTCTGCGTGTCGCCTCTCAATAGCCCTGAGATATCCTGAAGAAAAACAGAGGACAGAACGCTAACAAAAACAGTAATAGCTCAACAAAAGTCATCCAGGCACAACTGTTCGATAGTGATTTACAACGTGACTCAAGAATGATTAAAGTGAGATAGATTAGCCGACAGACTGTCAGTTTGACATGTATTAGCTCACTGATCATGACAAGTACGCCCATATCCATTCAACTACATATACTCACTCACATAACACACACACGGCAAAGTCTCACACCATGGACTATCCCGTGGCTTCCACATCCGCTCAAGTCTTCCATAAATCATTGGGTCTGGGTTTCGAATGGGATCTGTGTGTGTGTGTGTGGTTTTAACGACAGAGCAGAGGGGGCTACCATACGACACAGGCGCGGCTCTTAAAGGCCTTAAGTATTCCTAACACACAGAGACAGAGGAAAAACAGTGGTGGGGACAAAGTCAACAGCAATGCTGAAGTGCCTCTAATTCCATCATAGGGCTTTCACAGATTTAATAGTGAGGAACCTTGTGGGTTTCTATAAAACCAAAAGGGGGCTGGGAGGCTGACATTTCAATCGTCCCCCCAGAGTTTTTAGGGGTCCCTGGTGGTTTTGGAGATAGACGGCAGAGCGGAGAAATAGTGATATCTGTCATCTGTGGCCCTGACACTTCAATCGCAGGGTCACTGGTGACAGCACACACATACACACGCAAGCATGCATGCATACACCCGCACCATGAAAACACGCACGCACACACACCATCACTATGGTACTAGCGTGGTCCTAGCTGGGTCGAGCTGGCTTGAGTGGAGAGAGGATGGGTTATCTAGTGATAGGTGGAGCTGGCCTCCTTGCCATTCTGAAGGGGCATTCTGTAGGGGCATTCTATAGGGGCATTCTGAAGGGCATTCTGAAGGGGAATTATGTAGGGCCATTCTGAAGGGCATTCTGTAGGGGCATTCTGTAGGGGAATTATGTAGGGCCATTCTGAAGGGCATTCTGTAGGGGCATTCTGAAGGGGCATTCTGAAGGGGCATTCTGTAGGGGCATTCTGAAGGGGCATTCTGAAGGGGCATTCTGAAGGGGCATTCTGAAGGGGCATTCTGTAGGGGCATTCTGTAGGGGCATTCTGAAGGGGCATTCTGTAGGGGAATTATGTAGGGCCATTCTGAAGGGCATTCTGTAGGGGCATTCTGAAGGGGCATTCTGAAGGGGCATTCTGAAGGGGCATTCTGAAGGGGCATTCTGAAGGGGCATTCTGTAGGGGCATTCTGAAGGGGCATTCTGAAGGGGCATTCTGAAGGGGCATTCTGAAGGGGCATTCTGAAGGGCATTCTGAAGGGGCATTCTGAAGGGGCATTCTGAAGGGGCATTCTGAAGGGGCATTCTGAAGGGGCATTCTGAAGGGGCATTCTGTAGGGGCATTCTGTAGGGGCATTCTGTAGGGGCATTCTGAAGGGGCATTCTGTAGGGGCATTCTGTGGGGGCATTCTTGTTCTTCAAAGCACGTGAGTCCTGATGAGCTGCCGGCACTGGAGGCTCTACAGTTGCACTTGAACATAAATAATTCCATCCAAACAAACGTGTGAGTGAAGAGGAAGTGAGTGAAGGTCTACACCCCAAATGTCACCCTATTGGTACATAGTGCACTAATGTTGACCAGAGCCCAAGGAGACGGCGAAGTCACCTTACATTATCGGTGTCCTGGAAAGAACGTTTATTTTGAATACCTTTTTTATTTTACATGAATTGATATTTAGCCCTGTACTTTTAAAGTTTCATGGCTAGGACTGATCAAAGTCACCCAAAAGGCTTTGTGAATACGACATTTTTGGGGGGTTACATTTCATAAAAGTTGACTTTCGGTGAAGGTTTTCTCAGGACGCAAAATACATTAAAATTGTGAAGAAAAGCTTTTAATTCCACTCTTTCGTAAATGTTCATGTTTCATTCCAATTTCATTCCTATAGAAAACATCCATCTGTCTCCATGCTGTACGTCTGTAGTATGCCAAAATATTCACCTCTCCCTTCTGAGTAAAACACTCCTAGACACTATGAGGAGAACGTGTTTCTTAACGCTTGGCACAAACTGCAGGAGGAATGTGATGCGCACCTGTTGAGGGGTGAATCCAATGGTGTCGATGACAAGCGGTCAAGTGTGTGTGAGAGTGAGTGGAAGTACTGCTCCCTGCAGACGCTGGCAAAGTGAAAAGAAATGGCAGGTGTTGGAAGAAAGGCAGAGAGTTCTCTATCCTCCTTACAGTTGTGTTGTTGATAGCGAGAGGAAATCGCCAGGAGACGGGCCAGGGTGATGGCGTTTGCTGTGTCATCTCATAAGGTGTGCCTGAGCCCCTTACTATAGCAGCTCATGTCACTCCTCTGAAAATATCAGATTTGAATCTTCCTTTTTCATCCACGTCAACTCTTGAGGCTAAAATGGATGTGTGTTTTGGACCTGTGCCAACCTAGCATCTTGTCAAACTTAAAATGTCTGTTACAAGATGTTTAAGGGATGGTCCAAGGCACCTGTCTTGTCAATTGTCCAAGTGAAGCTCAAACTCACTGACACTGACAAATGCTATCGCATTAAAATCGGCCGCTGCTCAACGTCTTTCTTGAATGAGGTGAATTCTGGAGTCAGAAACTGTAGAACAAGTAGTGGTGTCCATATCATCATGGCCCTCAGGCATTCCAAGCAGACAGACAGACAGAGAGAGAGAGCGAGCAAGCGATGGGAAAGAGAGAGAAGATGGGAAAGAAAGAGGAGAGGGGAAAGAGAGGCAGCGAGAAAGAAAGAGAGCAATAGTAAGTGAGAGATCAAGCGAGAGCGACAGAGCAACAGTGACCGAGGGAAAGTGAGTCAGAGAAAGATAGAGGTGTTTGCTGGTAGTTCAGGGTCGTTCCATGTCATTTCAGCAATCCAATGCAAGTCAATAGTCCCTATATTAGCATTTTCACGCTTCATATCCAAATCATCTATAAATAACATCACTGAGTTAGACAATCATTTTTTGATACTTTGGGATGATTTGAATTTTAAGCTTGAAAATGCTAATATAGGTGTTAGGTACCATTGACTTGAATTAGATTTGCGCCACAAATTCTAAAAAGTTAGCATTTGATACAGTGACCGACAAAAAAACAAAGCATGGGTTGCTGTCTTAAGACTGCTTACAGGGTAAGGAAACCATTATGCAATTTTGTAATTTGGGTGAACTATCCCTTTAACAGGAAAAACACCATCTAGTGGTCAGTATCTGGTAATATAAGGACGTAGGATGGGACATAAACCTAACAACTTCAACGACAAATTTATCTGAACAGCGGGGAAAAAACATCACCAAATTCACTGAGAATACATTACAACGGATGAAGAAACAATCCTCCGATCCGCAGCTCCATACTACTTGTCAGACATAGATAACTGATACTATCCATTCGTTGTTGGGGTGGGATTGGCATGGGGTGTGGGGGGTCCGTGGGAACTTTTGAACATTTCTTTGGATTCCTCGTCTTACTCATTGTCAGAAAACAGTTTGGCCCAAATCAAATATTAGGTACTATAATTATTGAATATTAAATGAATCCTATAAATTAAAATGGCCAATTTGGATGCAATCAATTAGCTCAAAGAGATCAAATTTCAACAAAGTAATGTTGCAGGAATGTAATCATATCCGTTTCTAACAACAGAAACGATTTCAGAACAAACTGAACTGATGGGTTTCGAAATCCTTTTGTTCTTTTTGAGGTGGAACGACCCTGTAGAGACCTACCCTCTTCCTCTGCCACAACTGGGGCCTGGGAGGCCTGGTGTCATTGAGCAGGACTCTGATATGTTCTCGGGTGTCAGGGACGTGTCCCAGTGTGATGATGTACTGGCGTCCCCAAGGCTAAGCTAGGCATAGGGTTACCAAGCTGTCCAGAGGGCATCATCACTCCCTTTACTCCAGAACTACAGGGACTGGATGAAAGCACCAGTGTGTGTGTGTGTGTGTGTGTGTGTGTGTGTGTGTGTGTGTGTGTGTGTGTGTGTGCGCATGCGTGCGTGCGTGCGTGCGTGGGACGCACCAAGGGAGGAGTGCCTTACACGTGTCATATCGCAAAATGCATTTGAGACACTTTACCTTAAACAGAACCAAACAGTTTTTCAAAACAATTTTGATGTACTGCAAATACAATACTTCGACACAAATACCTGCTATAATATAACTTTGCTGACAACACCACCACAAATACTTCAGGTTTTAGTGTGAATTGTTGAATCGCTCCTCTGTTCAGCGACAAGGTTTCACCGTCACCTGCAGATACTTAGGGGGCAAGCGAGGGTGCTGTAACACACACAGTGGGCTAATTGGGCCCAATTAAGTCATTGTGCATCACAACCCAGAATCTGTCAGTCCGACAGTCTAGAGCCCCTCTGGCCCTCTGTTGAGAAACACAGTGTTGGGTTACAGCGTAGACACATTTAAACCTTCCCAACAACTACCACCCTTAGTCAGTAACAGCAATGAGTTAGGAGATCCTGTACATTCTGTTGAGTTATGAATGATGACATGATACAGTAGGGTTTATCACTGCTGGGGAGGGTGAACATTCCTACAACGTTTGTTCATTTTCCAATGTTCTTATTAATGTTCTGGGAATGCTGAGGTGATCAGACATGTTTTGCTGGGTTTAAAGGAGGGTGGAGGGTAAGATGAGTGTTTACCTCGCCAGACATGTCCGGAGCCAGAGAGATGAGTGGCCACAGAGAGGAGTAGATACCGAAGAACACCACCCACAGGCTGATGCTGCCCCAGATGGCAATGTGACTGAACTGGAGGAGACAGAGCATGTTCCTTCATTTTGTCTATATATAAATACAGTGTTGGCGGTGAGTTACACAACAGTAAATACAGAATACTTACCATCTTATTACGGAGTAATTACACAATGACTAAGTGATTATGCTAGTAGTTCTGCTGTAAAGCCTATGTAATGTGAATGGTGGCCAAGAGTGGCAGGAGGAAGAGGAACAGATGGATGGAGCATTATTATGGACCTTTTAAGAACTGCCTTTGTTACAAGTGTCTGTGGTACCATGTGAGAAAGTTGATGGAAAGACAAAATATTGTAGTGAGAGGAGAGAGCCTACCATAGTCCATGACGAGGTCTCCAGGCCAGCTTTGAGGCACACGGTGATGACCACAAACTAGGAAACAGAACATCACAAAGTCAAATGCTAAACCAACATCTTCCTAGCCATTGAGAATAAGTTAAAATCAAAGTCACCAGAAGTTTGACACGAAAAGGCACTGACAGATAGCATTTTATATATGAATGCTAAAGGTGTATTCTTTGGCTTAAAACTTGAAATAATGTTTTACTTATACATATTGGATCAAAACACAGTAACGACACACAAGACGGTCAAAAAAAATAAAGAAATCCAAAACAAACTGATAAATAGTCTCACAGCAAGACGCTGAGGCTAACACAAGGTTACAGATAGGCAGACAAAGATGTCTTCATTCTCAAAGCTCAAAAAGCAGAAATACAACACTGGTTATCAGTCAGGGGTGGGCTGAACTGACTCTGTGTGCTCATCCAAAAAAGACTTAGGCTGTGTCCCAAATGGCACCCTATTCCCTTCATAACACACACACACACACACACACACACACACACACACACACAGGGAAAAGGGTGCCATTTGAGACTCTTACTTACTGTATAAACCATGTTGCCTAAGAGGAGATAGTCTGGGGTCTTTCCGTTGCCGAAGACCGTATCTGTGAAAAGGATGAACATGAAAAGCTTTTAGACGTATGGTCTTGTCCCTCTTCTCTAGTTCCATTAGACCAGATGAAATGATGTGAAATCTCTGCTATGGAGTAAACTACCAGAGAGCAGACAGACTGTCTCTGCATCCCAAATGGCACCCTATTCCATTTATAGCGCACTACTTTTGACCGGAGCCATATGGGCCCTGTTCAAAAGCAGTGCACTATAAATGGAATAGGGTGCCATTTGGGATGCAGGCTGTGAGTACAGTATGGGCAGGCGAGCATAATGCCCCTTTAGAGATGTAAGACTGAACATAATGCCCCATTAGATATGTAATACTGAACATAATGCCTCAGAGATGTACCACTGAACATAATGCCCTATTAGAGATGTAACACTGGACATAATGGCCCAATAGAGTAGTGAGATGTACCACTGGACATAATGGCCCATTAGAGCAGTGAGGTGTAACACTGGACATAAATGGCCCATTACAGCAGTGAGATGTAACACTGGACATAATGGCCCATTAGAGCAGTGAGATGTAACACTGGACATAATGGCCCATTAGAGTAGTGAGATGTACCACTGGACATAATGGCCCATTAGAGCAGTGAGGTGTAACACTGGACATAAATGGCCCATTACAGCAGTGAGATGTACCACTGGACATAATGGCCCATTAGAGCAGTGAGATGTAACACTGGACATAATGGCCCATTAGAGCAGTGAGATGTAACACTGGACATAAATGGCCCATTAGAGCAGTGAGATGTAACACTGGACATAATGGCCCATTAGAGCAGTGAGATGTAACACTGGACATAATGGCCCATTAGAGCAGTGAGATGTAACACTGGACATAATGGCCCATTACAGCAGTGAGATGTAACACTGGACATAATGGCCCATTACAGCAGTGAGATGTAACACTGGACATAATGGCCCATTAGAGCAGTGAGATGTAACACTGGACATAATGGCCCATTCGAGCAGTGAGATGTAACACTGGACATAATGGCCCATTACAGCAGTGAGATGTAACACTGGACATAATGGCCCATTAGAGCAGTGAGATGTAACACTGGACATAATGGCCCATTCGAGCAGTGAGATGTAACACTGGACATAATGGCCCATTACAGCAGTGAGATGTAACACTGGACATAATGGCCCATTACAGCAGTGAGATGTAACACTGGACACAGGAGTAAAACTGCACTGATGAGAGAAGAGAAAAGAGACATTAATTTACTTCCATTACTGCCACTTGAGCGGCACTGCGTTGCCGTACTGTGTGTGTGTGTGTGTGTGTGTGTGTGTGTGTGTGTGTCCATGAATGTCCATTGCATATGCTTGATGGAGCAATCTGATGGAGGAATCAGGAAGCAGTCTGGACTACGGTTGACATGACCAGTTAAGCCGGGTTATTATTGAAAACAAAAACAAGAATTAGCCCAGTAATCTTTGACTAATAGAATTAGTCTAATAATCTTGGACAAATGAAGTATTCAAAACAAAGCAAACTGCTACTCAAATACCAGTTAAGGGATGGGTCAACTTTTGTTCAGTTAAAAAAAATGTGCCTCATTGATTGTACTAGAAGCATTTACTTTAACACTCCCTAATTTCTGGGCGTGCTTGGGGAGAAGAAGAAATAGCGAGAGAGAGAGAGTCTGGCTCATTTTTGCTTTCGGCTAGTCACATGCCTATGTGTGCTTCGAGGCCTTGCTGACAGCCTGTCAGTCAGACTGAAGGGGCTTCTCTCTTCGCTTTGTTTGGAGAGCAGGCCCAAGCCTGTGTGGTCCTCTGGCTCCACCAGCCAAGACTCCATCGACTCTAAGATCCCCATTCTCTCAACCCTGAGCCTTACCACAGTCTGAGAAGAGTAGCTACTTGGCCATATAGTGAAGTGTGAGCTGAACAGGGGAACTTAAAAGTGTGTGTGTGTGTGTGTGTGTGTCTATGTTCAAGTGTGTGTGTGTGTGTGTGTGTGTGTGTGTGTGTGTGTGCCTACGTGTTCATGCACATTTATGTTCAAGCATGCCAATGTATATAACTCATGAGGTTGTGGGTAAAAAAGAAAAGTAATCAAGATAAGGTATGTGTGTTAACTGGCCTCACTCCACCCAGAGCATATAGAGACTAGAAATCCAGGCTCAGTCACAAATAGCAGGGTGCCAGATAAGTCTCTGGGAGGTTAGGGTTAGAGTCTCTGGGAGGTTATGGTTAGAGTCTCTGGGAGGTTAGGATTAGAGTCTCTGGGAGGTTAGGGTTAGAGTCTCTGGGAGGTTAGGGTTAGAGTCTCTGGGAGGTTAGGGTTAGAGTCTCTGGGAGGTTAGGGTTAGCGTCTCTGGGAGGTTAGGGTTAGGGTTAGAGTCTCTGGGAGGTTAGGGTTAGAGTCTCTGGGAGGTTTAGAGTCTCTGGGAGGTTAGGGTTAGAGTCCCTGGGAGGTTAGGGTTAGAGTCTCTGGGAGGTTTAGAGTCTCTGGGAGGTTAGGGTTAGAGTCCCTGGGAGGTTAGGGTTAGAGTCTCTGGGAGGTTAGGGTTAGAGTCTCTGGGAGGTTAGGGTTAGAGTCTCTGGGAGGTTAGGTTCAGCGTCTCTGGGAGGTTAGGTTTAGAGTCTCTGGGAGGTTAGGGTTAGAGTCTCTGGGAGGTTAGGGTTAGAGTCTCTGGAAGGTTAGGGTTAGAGTCTCTGGGAGGTTAGGTTTAGAGTCTCTGGGAGGTTAGGGTTAGAGTCCCTGGGAGGTTAGGGTTAGAGTCTCTGGGAGGTTAGGTTTAGAGTCTCTGGGAGGTTAGGGTTAGAGTCTCTGGGAGGTTAGGGTTAGAGTCTCTGGGAGGTTAGGGTTAGAGTCTCTGGGAGGTTAGGTTTAGAGTCTCTGGGAGGTTAGCGTTAGAGTCTCTGGGAGGTTAGGGTTAGAGTCTCTGGGAGGTTAGGGTTAGAGTCTCTGGGAGGTTAGGGTTAGAGTCTCTGGGAGGTTAGGGTTAGAGTCCCTGGGAGGTGCTTACCGTGCTTGAAGGCTGTGAGGGGGACCCAGAACAGGATGACCGAGTGGAAGAGGCCATTCAGACAATGAGCCCAGAAGACCTGCAAGGAGGGGGGGGGGGGTTGGGTGGGTTCCAGGGAGAAAAGGAGAAAAGGAGAGAAAAAGCATGAGAAACCCGGTGGCCGACCCAACCCACCTAGCGACCCCTGACCTGGGCTCTTTGTGGCGGTTTTGTAGGGCCTCCTCTCTGAATGGCCACCCCTCTGACAGACACTTTGTATATCCTGTGTGTGTGTAGGACTGGAAAAGAGAGGGTGCAGGGATGTGTGTAGGTTTGGTGTGTGTGTGTGTGTGTGTAACTGTGTGTGTGTGTGTGAGACTTTGTGTGTGTGTGCACGCAAGTCGGGTGGACTATGTGGGGGGGTAGTTTTCCTTTCCCTGTCCTTTCCTGTAGACCCCCCCTCCCACCATAAAATTTCAACAGTCTTCCATATGCAAATGTAGGATTGGGAGAAAAATGAATGAAGAGGGCACTGAACAAGCAGAAATCAATCTAAAAACACAGAGAAGTTGACATGTTTGACGTGGATTAACTTGTTTTTACGGTAATTAGTCAGAAGCTGGAAAAGAAGGGGCACAGTGGTGTGTGTGTTTCCACACAGGCGTTTGGAGTGTGTGTTGTTGGTGTGTGTTTGTGGATCTTGGATGAGCCGTTTAAATCAATAGTCCCTCTCCAAAACCACAGTGTTTCAAATGTACATTATGCTCGGATGTCGCCAAACACAACACTAAAGGGTGATGTAGCATGAAATGGCCGTGAAATCAACTCCGCCAAAAAAGTCTGTATTCATGCCCCCTCGTTTCCCGACCCTGCTCCACTCACTGCTCTGTTATTCCTAAAAGTTGAACTAGATTTGAATAAAACAGCAAGCAGCACATTGACTGGGGGGTGGGTAATCACTTTACTCTCAAGATTCACTTTTTAATCCATTTTTGGCAGGCAGCATGACCAATTTAATTTCACACTTCCGCAAAAAGCGCTCTCGACAACTTCATAAAATCGGTCTATGAATACACAATTTCTTATCCAAGACAAATTATAAAACCGCCGGCTTATTGAAGTCGACGCGTTTTTCACAGGTTTTAAGCAATTTTGGAATAACAATCAACTCTAAGTGCTATAGCCAAACCGTTGTTTAAAAGAGTGGGCGTATGCAGCATGGTTTTCCTTGTACTTCAACTTGTTTCCCTTTAGTGCAGATTCCCTAATGGTGGACCCGTGTCATGTGTAATTAAGTACGGCAATTGGAGATTCTGTGGTTAGAAGTTAAGTCAGGGTTGTGGGTTAAGTCAGGGTTGTGGGTTAAGTCAGGGGTGGGTTAAGTCAGAGGTGGGTTAAGTCAGGGTTGTGGGTTATTTGCAGTACAAATGTCTCATTATTTCATTAAATTATAAGCAGGCTATATACAAAAAAGAAACAATGGCAGGTTTTTTCAAAACACTGGTGAGCTCAAAGACATGAAAACCAAGTGTTGTAGTCCACAGGTAGGGAGGAGAGGAGAGGAGAGGAGAGGAGAGGAGAGGAGAGGAGAGGAGAGGAGAGGAGAGGAGAGGAGAGGAGAGGAGAGGAGAGGAGAGGAGAGGAGAGGAGAGGAGAGGAGAGAGGGATTATACTGAGAGTGTCTTGTTCTGGGCTCTATGTCATACCTTGGCCTCTCTGGCATGACCTTCTCACCTTTGCTATCGCCTTAACAAAACAATGGCCTTACTTCACCTCCCACCCTGCCAACAGGCCACCACGCTGGGGCAGGAGCACCCCCCTCTCTGTGGTTCAATGTGTGATAGATGATCTCCAATGTTACAATTACACGTTTAAACCAAATTAGTCTCCCACTGGCAAGTAGCATACAACTTTCCCCTCTGTCCCTAACTCCACCCCTACCCCCAACCCCACCTCACCTAACCCTCCAACACAACACAGTGTAGAACAACAACCCCACCTCACCCTTCTCACTCTGCCCAACAACAGTGTGGAACAACAACCCCACCCCACCTCACCCAACAACACAACACAACACGTGTGGAACAACAACCTCACCCCACCCCACCTCACCCAACACAACACAACACGTGTGGAACAACAACCCCACCCCACCCCACCCCACCTCACCCAACACAACACAACACGTGTGGAACAACAACCTCACCCCACCTCACCCAACACAACACAACACAACACAACACAACACGTGTGGAACAACAACCTCACCCCACCCCACCTCACCCAACACAACACAACACAACACGTGTGGAACAACAACCCCACCCCACCTCACCCAACACAACACAACACAACACGTGTGGAACAACAACCTTACCCCACCTCACCCAACACAACACAACACAACACAACACGTGTGGAACAACAACCTTACCCCACCTCACCCAACACAACACAACACGTGTGGAACAACAACCTTACCCCACCTCACCCAACACAACACAACACGTGTGGAACAACAACCCCACCTCACATCACCTTCCTCACTCTGCCCAGCACAACAGTGTGGAACAACCCCAACCCACCTCACCCAACACATTGTGGAAAAACCATACTTTCCAAGTGCCCAGCACCCTAATGAATACTAATGAAATCAATAAATGTTCATAATCATTTGTCACAGTGAAGCCTCACTCCCCTCCCCCCACCTCCACCCCCCTCCGCTGTATCCCGGCAAGTTTAGAAGAACCCCGGCGTGAATGCCTGCCTGTCCTTATTCGTACCGGGCTAAAAGATTCGGGCCCATTGTGCAGCGCCTAATTGCTTAAAAAAGCATGAATGGATGTAGTTTATATCGAGCCAAATATTTCCAGTCCCCTCCCCTTCCGCTTTAATGCTGTTGCACAGAGAGGGGGGGCGGGGGTGAATGGTGAGGCGGTGTTATTACTGGGGGCCACGTCAGGGGACTGAAGTTTCTTAGAGTGACTTAAGTGTCAGGAATATGTAATTAAAAGTGAAAGGGGACACAGTGGTGTGGGCGGGCGACGTCTGAAATATTTCACACCCTTCCCCTGCCCCCTCTCACCTCCTCAACACAAATGCCTTTAATTCGCTTAGACAAAAGCCCCAGGGGTGCAGAGAGAAAGGGGTTTCTCACTTCGGGCCATGTGACAAAGACAATATCAGAGGGAAAGAGTTGACAGGTCAGTTAAAACACAACAGTGACCTGGACAAGTCATCATTTACGTGTCTTTAGAGAATGAGGGGTCAAACAAAAACGGAGGAAAACCAATGTGAATCAACAAGTCCGTTTTTTCAGAGACCTGTCTTGCACAACATCACCCTGCTATTCCCTGGAGGGTCATGTAACACTGGGCCATACGGAGCCCTTCTCTCACCCAAACAGAACTACAAGCTGTGAGGGGGAAATGCCGGTTGTGGTCCGTGGGTCACTAACTGAGGTGACTGGCCCCATGCAGGCTAACCTTCCGGGGAGAGAGAGAGACTAGTAGACTGGGGTTGTCTTATTTACAGTACTTAGGCCAAGCTAGGCCAGACCAGGCAGAAGGCCTCCAGCGCAAACAGCCCCTTGCTTAAACAAATTGCATCATTTTCCGCATTGGTTGCCATCACACCCTGGCAGCAGAGCACTCTCTCCCTTTACACCCCCCTCCCCCATTATCCTCCTCCCACCCCCCCTGCCTCCTCTCTACCCCTCCTCCCTCCTCTCTACCCCCCTGCCTCCTCTCTACCCCTCCTCCCTCCTCTCTACCCCCCTGCCTCCTCTCTACCCCTCCTCCCTCCTCTCTCCCCCCCTGCCTCCTCTCTACCCCTCCTCCCTCCTCTCTACCCCTCCTCTCTACCCCTCCTCCCTCCTCCTCCTCCCCTCTCAGGGCCGCTATCCCCCCCACTTCTCCTGTCCCTGTCGCCCGTGACCTCTGTGGCCACTCTGGCTTTAATCCGTCTCCATGCTGCACTAACTGGGTCTCCACGCCTGTAAAGTAAGGGAGTTAGGCGGGGGTGGTGGGTGGATGGAGGGAGGGGTAGGCGTGGAGAAGGGGAGACATCTTCATTAACAGACAGCAGGGAAAGCTAACCGACAGCTCCCCCAACAGACAGAGACAGGCGGACAGGCAGGCAGACAACGTCTGACCACTGCACCCGGTCAGACTGGTGGTAGAGACCCCATGAGTCAGACACAGGCCAATTGGGACAGATGCGTTTGGAGCGTTTCAGAGCTTATCAGGTCTCCATTGTGTGTAAAGGATGTCAATTCAGAGACAGAACAGAGGTTAAGAAAAAAACAGCCTGGTTAATTGCAGTCTTCTGTCTCGATTTTTGTTTGTTGGTGCCAAGTAAACCTAAGTTAACCTATTTAAGCTTAGAAAGACTTAAGAATTTACTATGCTATGAATGGAAATGTGTCCCAGAAAAACATGATGCATAAAACATGAGGCATTAAAGTGGAATGACAGAAAATTATGGAATCGTTGAGACAATGTTCCTCTAATGTTCTTCAATGCAGCACAAACGGACACATCATCTACCTTTGTGTTGAAGCCCATGGCATTCTGGGAGGTTTTGTAGAGTTCCGGGTACTTCAGCATGTTCTCTTTCCTGCATGAGCGCTCAAATATTCCCAGAGTGAGAGGAGGCAGAGCGGTGAAAATCTAAACACACAAACACACTAATGTCAACATTTCCCCTCACAGAACCCAGAAGTCAGGATCAAGGTAGTAAACTCAGAATCCCAGCAGATTAAATTAACGGTCTGTTCGCAAAGACGCTATCAGATAAAATTTTAGATGGGAATTTTATCGTTCCTCAGTGAATAACCCAATAAAAACCAGGGTTTTCATTATGGCAAGGACCTTCAAGACGTCATTGATTCCATTACTTCGTTAAAAGAAAACAAGGAGACACTAATGATGTCCTATTAAGATGTACGTCTGGAAAGAGACAATTCACTTACTATGGGCTAAACAATACCAAGAAAAGGATCAAAAACATGAGATTATTCATCCTGTCCATTAGCCAGTTCATCCCACATTTGGGGTGGGGCAGGTAGCCTAGTGGTTAAGAGCGTTGGGCCAGTAACCGAGCAGACTACAGTGAGGGAAAAAAGTATTTGATCCCCTGCTGATTTTGTACGTTTGCCCACTGACAAAGAAATGATCAGTCTATAATTTTAATGGTAGGTTTATTTGAACAGTGAGAGACAGAATAACAACAAAAAAATGCAGAAAAACGCATGTCAAAAATGTTATAAATTGATTTGCATTTTAAATGAGGGAAATAAGTATTTGACCCCTCTGCAAAATATGACTTAGTACATGGTGGCAAAACCCTTGTTGGCAATCACAGAGGTCAGACGTTTCTTGTAGTTGGCCACCAGGTTTGCACACATCTCAGGAGGGATTTTGTCCCACTCCTCTTTGCAGATCTTCTCCAAGTCATTAAGGTTTCGAGGCTGACGTTTGGCAACTCAAACCTTCAGCTCCCTCCACAGATTTTCTATGGGATTAAGGTCTGGAGACTGGCTTGGCCACTCCAGGACCTTAATGTGCTTTTTCTTGAGCCACTCCTTTGTTGCCTTGGCTGTGTGTTTTGGGTCATTGTCATACTGGAATACCCATCCACGACCCATTTTCAATGCCCTGGCTGAGGGAAGGAGGTTCTCACCCAACATTTGACGGTAAATGGCCCTGTCCATCGGCCCTTTGATGCGGTGAAGTTGTCCTGTCCCCTTAGCAGAAAAACACCCCCAAAGCATGTTTCCACCTCCATGTTTGACGGTGGGGATGGTGTACTTGGGGTCATAGGCAGCATTCCTCCTCCTCCAAACACGGCGAGTTGAGTTGATGCCAAAGAGCTCCATTTTGGTCTCATCTGAACACAACACTTTCTCCTCTGAATCATTCAGACGTTCATTGGCAAACTTCAGACGGGCATGTATATGTGTTTTCTTGAGCAGGGGGACCTTGCGGGCGCTGTAGGATTTCAGTCCTTCACGGCGTAGTGTGTTACCAATTATTTTCTTGGTGACTATGGTCCCAGCTGTCTTGAGATCATTGACAAGATCCTCCCGTGTAGTTCTAGGCTGATTCCTCACCGTTCTCATGATCATTGCAACTCCACGAGGTGAGATCTTGCATGGAGCCCCAGGCCGAGGGAGATTGACATTTATTTTGTGTTTCTTCCATTTGCGAATAATCGCTGTTGTCACATTCTCACCAAGCTGCTTGGCGATGGTCTTGTAGCCCATTCCAGCCTTGTGTAGGTCTACAATCTTGTCCCTGACGTCCTTGGAGAGCTCTTTGGTCTTGGCTATGGTGGAGAGTTTGGAATCTGATTGATTGATTGCTTCTGTGGACAGGTGTCTTTTATACAGGTAACAAACTGAGATTAGGAGCACTCCCTTTAAGAGTGTGCTCCTAATCTCAGCTCGTTACCTGTATAAAAGACACCTGGGAGCCAGAAATCTTTCTGATTGATAGGGGGTCAAATACTTATTTCCCTCATTAAAATGCAAATCAATTTATAAACATTTTTGACATGCGTTTTTCTGGATTTTTTGGTTGTTATTCTGTCTCTCACTGTTCAAATAAACCTACCATTAAAATTATAGACTGATCATTTCTTTGTCAGTGGGCAAATGTACAAAATCAGCAGGGGATCAAACACTTTTTCCCCCTCACTGTAGGTGAAAAATCTGTCAATGTGCCCTTGACCAAGGCCCTTAACCTTAATTGCTCCTGTAAATCGCTATGGATAAGAGTGTCAGCTAAATGAAAAAAAAAAATAATAATAATTTGATCACACATTTTTTTGGGGGGGAAACAGTGTACACAGCCTATTGAAAACAACAACAAAAATTGCTTCCCTTTTGCATTGATCGCCATATGCTGAAGTTATGACTGACTAGCACTTGCACTGATTTTATTGAGTGGAGGCTGTTGAGCGTTTAGCACTTTTGGCCTTTTATTTTGACTAGACATGCTCCGTTTATATGCAAAAGCCATCTTGGACGAACATCTGCAACGCCCTTGACTAGTTAGCAGGTATTTTCGCAGAGCTATTTTAATTTCTATGTGGTGTTGTAATATTTCTTTCTGCAGCAGCTGTTGAGAGAGAGATGGGGAGAGAGGGAGAGAAGAGTGAGAGAAGTGAGAGGAGTGTCAGTATTGTACAGTATGGCTGGGGTGCTCTGCAGGAGGACATGCTCCACTGCATGGGCTCTATTCTCATTCAGGGTGCCAAGCATCGCCATTTAGGGGCGGATTCGGCCCGCTGCCTCCGACAGACTGCCACAGAGCCTGTGAAATTTCCCCGCTTTTTAGATAAAGTGAAAGAGTTGGCCGCCTCATACAGTGGCTTGCGAAAGTATTCACCCCCCTGGGCATTTTTCCTATTTTGTTGCCTTACAACCTGGAATTAAAATTGGATTTTTGGGGGGGGGGTTTGTATCATTTGATTTACACAACATGCCTACCACTTTGAAGATGCAAAATATTTTTTATTGTGAAACAAACAAGAAATAAGACAAAAAAACTGAAAACTTGAGCATGCATAACTATTCACCCCCCAAAGTCAATACTTTGTAGAGCCACCTTTTTCAGCAATTACAGCTGCAAGTTTCTTGGGGTATGTCTCTATAAGCTTGGCACATCTAGCCACTGAGATTTCTGCCCATTCTTCAAGGCAAAACTGCTCCAGCTCCTTCAAGTTGGATGGGTTCTGCTGGTGTACAGCAATCTTTAAGTCATACCACAGATTCTCAATTGGATTGAGGTCTGGGCTTTGACTAGGCCATTCCAAGACATGTAAATGTTTCCCCTTAAACCACTCAAGTGTTGCTTTAGCAGTATGCTTAGGGTCATTGTCGTGCTGGAAGGTGAACCTCCTTCCCAGTCTCAAATCTCTGGAAGACTGAAACAGGTTTCCCCTCAAGAAATTCCCTGTATTTAGCACCATCCATCATTCCTTCAATTCTGAGCAGTTTACCAGTCCCCGCCGATGAAAAACATCCCCACAGCATGATGCTGCCACCACCATGCTTCACTGTGGGGATGGTGTTCTCGGGGTGATGAGAGGTGTTGGGTTTGCACCAGACATAGTGTTTTCCTTGATGGCCATAAAGCTCAATTTTAGTCTCATCTGACCAGAGTACCTTCTTCCATATGTTTGGGGAGTCTCCCACATGCCTTTTGGTGAACACCAAATGTGTTTGTTTATTTGTTTCTTTAAGCAATGGCTTTTTTCTGGCCACTCTTCCGTAAAGCCCAGCTCTGTGGGGTGTACGGCTTAAAGTGGTCCTATGGACAGATACTCCAATCTTTGCTGTGGAGCTTTGCAGCTCCTTCAGGGTTATCTTTGGTCTCTTTGTTGCCTCTCTGATTAATGCCCTCCTTGCCTGGTCCGTGAGTTTTGGTGGGCGGCCCTCTCTTGGCAGGTTTGTTGTGGTGCCATATTCTTTCAATTTTCTAATAATGGATTTAATGGTGCTCCGTGGGATGTTCAAAGTTTCAGATATTTTTCTATAACCCAACCCTGATCTGTACTTCTCCACAACCTTGTCCCTGACCTGTTTGGAGCGCTCCTTGGTCTTCATGGTGCCACTTGCTTGGTGGTGCCCCTTGCTTAGTGGTGTTGCAGACTTTGGGGCCTTTCAGAACAGGTGTATATATACTGAGATCATGTGACAGATCATGTGACACTTAGATTGCACACAGGTGGACTTTATTTAAATAATTATGTGACTTCTGAAGGTAATTGGTTGCACCAGATCTTATTTAGGGGCTTCATAGCAAAGGGGGTGAATACATATGCACGCACCACTTTCCCGGTATTAATTTTTTAGACATTTTTGAAAGAAGTTATTTTTTTCATTTCACTTCACCAATTTTGACTATTTTGTGTATGTCCATTACATGAAATCAAAATAAAAATCCATTTAAATGACAGGTTGTAATGCAACAAAATAGGAAAATCGCCAAGGGGGATGAATACTTTTGCAAGGCACTGTACACTGTTATATGTTTAAAATGTTGGCTGTTTATTAAGGAATCTCGAAAACAGCCAGAGCGGTGACTATGTTGTAATTTCTTGATTGATGACGAAATCACTTCCATTTGTGGGCCATCAACAATATGCAACTTCTCTCCTCTCCCTTCCGTCACTCTTTTCTGTTTATAGACTTAGGTATATCTTTATTAAACAGTATAAAGCTACACGTTGAATCCCAAACAATGTACTATTACATGTTTATTTTTTAGTTGCAGGGTTAAAATAAACATTATTTCCATCCGTGCGCTCACTTCATTTGACAGAAAATAAACATGGTCCAAGCACACCAACACAGTCGTGAAGAGGGCACAACAATGCCTCTTCCCCCTCAGGAGGCTGAAATGTTTTGGCATGGGCCCTCAGATTCTCAAAAGGTTCTACAGCTGCACCATTGAGAGCATCTTGACTGGCTGCATCACCACTTGGTATGGCAACTGCTTGGCATCCGACCGCAAGGTGCTACAGAGGGTAGTGCGTACGGCCCAGTACATCAATGGGGCCGAGCTCTCTGCCATCCAGGCCCTCTATACCAGGCGGTGTCAGAGGAAGGCCCTAAAAATTGTCAAAGACTCCAGCCACCCAGGTCACAGACTGTTCTCTCTGCTCCCGCATGGCAAGCGGAACCGATGCACCAAGTCTGGAACAAACAGGACCCGGAACAGCTTCTACCCTCAAGCCATAAGACTGTTAAATAGTTAACCAAATAGCTACCTGGACTATCTGCATTGACCCTTTTTGCACAAACTTATTTGACTCATCACATACAATGCTGCTACTATTTATCATCTGTCACATTCCTAGTTATATGTACATATCTACCTCAATTACCTCGTACCCCTGCACATTGACTCGGCACTGGTACCCCGTGTATATAGCCAAGTTGTTACTCGTGTATTTATTCCTTGTGTTATTATTTTTCTATGTATTATTTTTCTTTCTGTTATTTTAAAAATATATATACATTTTTTAAAACTTTAGTTTATTTAGTAAATATTTTCTTAAAACTACATTGTTGGGAAAGGCCCGTTAGTAAGCATTTCACTGTTAGTCGACACCTGTTGTTTACGAAGCATGTGACAAATACAATTTGATTTGACATTGGTTCATTAAGAGGGGACCCAACACCCAACCCTGTGGGACACCAGTTGCTCAGAGCTGGTTGTGTGCTGCTCTCTTCAACCTGTTCCTTTATAATTCACAAACGACCACCTTCACTAACTACACTCTTTAGGGGCATGCAAGGCTGTTTTCACATTCGGTACATAGTTCAGGGCACAAGGGGAATATGGACTTGACAACAGGTCATAAATAAATGGGACATTCCCAGCAGTAAAGGGATCACGCCACGGCAAATTACTTTTCTTGCCAGAGAGCGACAGGGGAGGAGAATTATATAACATGCGCTTCCACAGTAATAGAGAGAGCCGAGTAAATCACATTAACACTCACCACATTGTACAGGCCGATGCACCAGCGCTCAAACAGAATCTGACCAGAGAATCCATTGACGAAGGCAAACCAGATCTGAAGGAGACAAAACACCAGAGCAAAGAGGACATTAGAAGTGCAACATTGAGGAAGAAAGGCACGTAAGGTGATTGTCATTAAGATAAAAAAAAAAAAACATTCTGCCAACACAAAGGCAATGGTTTCACGTCTTTACTCAAAGTGAATCTTTTCCTTTTCAACTGATATCACATTTATCTTTTAGGTGTTTTTTCAAGCGGTAGATAGGGTTCCTTCATCAGTGATAGAAGTGCATGTGGTCTCTCCCCCTCCACCGTTTGAATGCATGCTTTCCATCACTGATAGTAATGGAGAGTGGTGTCCCCATTAGTCGATTAGCATCAGTCCATGTGTGTCCAAAGAGGATCTGCAGATATCACACCATTACCCTCAATCCCTGATGGGACATGTTTTACTGTCCAATGACGATAAAGAAACTTCACATTGACACCTACTACACATACCAATACAATATCATCAATTACTACAACGTTAACTTTGGTTAAAATAATGTATTGCCAATAGGTGTAATCAAAAAGACATCCTGACATTAAGTAATACGCCCTTTACTAAAGGAAAGAATTGAAGAAACATTTTCCCGGCAATGTAAAAAGAGCTAAAATTAGTCTAAAATCTAATCTTGGTCCTTTTGAAGTTCTGACCTGTGCTCAACACATCATTAGTCTCTGAAGGCAACGCCTCTCAAACTTTGTGGGGGACAGGAGACAGGGACCAAGACTGACTGAATTAGTGGGTACGAGTGGGAGTGGGAAAACGAAGCCTAAGAGATACCATTTCCACAGTGTAATATTTCCAATGGATTTAGCCTGGGATAACATCTGAACATACAGTATATCAAGCCCACCGTTTCCCTCCAATGAGCCAGCCAGCAACATCCAAGTGACAGCCAGCCTTAGTGATGAGGCAGGAGCCAGGGGATTGGACAGACTGGCTGGATAAAGACAGCCTTGGATCTGCTCACCGAGGGAGGAGAGGGGAGGTGAAGATAATGTATCTAAACCATATGAATCTTAGTTATCACCTCATTCCTTGATTAGTCAGACTTGTCTGGACACAGCTTCACCTGTCAGGCAAGAAACTAAACTGCCACGGCTTTGGAAAACAGGGAAGTGTACATTTAGCTGGTTGTTGCTCTAACACTAACAACTACCGAAAACTAGTACCTTTTGGAGAAATATCCAGAGACTGCAACGATAACACATTTTGTCATTGATGGTGGACTTGTTTCCATATAAATAACGTAAATCGATTTCCAACCATGTTAATTAAAGCATATGACAAGCAAAGAAAGGGCTTGTTGTTTTCCGGTGAGAAACAGCCTGTCTGTCTCTGTGTAATTGTGTGGACAGACAGTGGCGCTGGACAGACCCTTTCTGTTGGGTTGCTGTGCTGTGCCACGGCAAGGCTGTGAACATTTCCTCACTTCATTTAACTGCATTATGAAGGCCTGAAATGCTACATATTCTCGGTTCGGACTAAGGGCCTCACCCGCCACCGCCACCCACTCTCTACATGACAAATTCCCAATCCACCAGCCAGGCCCTTCCCATTCAATCGAGCGAATGCGCGAAAATGTTCCCAAAACAAATGTCTGTCACCCGCCCACCCCTCCTGTTCATTCTCTTGGGCGAGGAGAGTGAAGCAAGTGTGTGTATGCATGCTCCTAAACCCCACTCCCTCTCCCCCACCTCTTCCCTCCATCAGGTGCATTCTACCATGATGTTGTTTTTTAAAGTGGGGGCCGCTGGTGGTCAACTCCTGTTTTTCTTTTACACACACACACACACACACACACACACACACACACACACACACACACACACACACACACACACACACACACACACACACACACACACACACACACACACGTTAAAAGAACGTGACTCCCCCGGAGATGTTTTGCTTTGTGCTCCCTCTGTATTTTTGGGGAAATCTACACCTGATGTATTCGGAGCATGTGACAATTTCATTTAATTAGAATCCCATGGTACAGTACATCCATCAGAAATAAAATAGATGTGTTTAAGGATCTGTCTTCATGAAACTAATATATAGGCCCCGTTGCTACGGGTTACAGCAAGACGAGGCGAAAGCCACGGAGCAGGTTAAACCGGCAGTGTGGTGTGGCTGGCCTAGCAGGCGGGTCAAAGTGCTGAATTAATTAAGGGCCGGCTCAATGAAGGGCTCCGGGCTGATATATTGTTGTGCTAAGTTGAAAAAGAACCCTTTTCAGAGCATGCTGTAACAGCTTCTGCGTGAGTGTTTTGGCCTGGTCCTTCAGGTCCCGCTAGCGCCCTTCTCTCCCTCTCTCTCGAGAGATGCATTGATTCGCTCATTAGGAGAAGGTCCAGGCAGGGGTTTTTCCTTCATATTTTCCCCCTCAGCAGAGGGCTGGCGGCTGGCCTCTCTCTCCCACATTCTGAAAAACAGATCGGAGGAAGGAGGGAAAGGGAGCCGCCGATAAAGAAGCTCCCTGGTTACTCATCAGCAGAATAAAAAATAAATGATTCCGAAACGCCGTCCCACAGCTCCGTAGGCATCTGTGTGGGAAGAAGGGGGTGGAGGGAGAGAGAGGAGTGACATTTGTCCTCAACAAAACGACAGCACTCTTTGCGCCTATGCAGAACCCCTGAAAAAATCCAAACAGACTCCTTATCCCCCATATAAAAAGGCAAAGGAGAAAGAGAGGGGTATGAAGGAAGAGAACGAGAGGGGTATGAAGGAAGAGAAAGAGAGGGGTATGAAGGAAGAGAAAGAGAGGGGTATGAAGGAAGAGAAAGAGAGGGGTATGAAGGAAGAGAAAGAGAGGGGTATGCTCCAGGCGTTCTCCAGGCTTTCTGAGCCGCACCGAATGAGCCTCTTGTAATTATCTCATAAATGCCACTTGTCCATCAGTCTCTCTGGGGCTGCTTGACGACGTGTCAATCAAGCCAAGTAGTGCTCGGCTGGACCAAACATTTGAAGTAAGTCGCTATGGCAACATCATTGAAAAGGTCTCAGTTTGAATGTGGCTAATCCTTCCAGTTTGTCAAATTTTAGCATTGCAAGATTATAGACAAAGGAAAGAAAGTAGTGTATGACTGCTGCGTTGAATATCCTTTGGCATGTGTGTAATTTATAACTTCACAGTATCTTCAGCTCCCTCATTTCCCCCGTAATGTTCTGATCATCATTGTCTCCCTCCAACCATACCTCACAAAGTTAAGAAAAAGTTAAGTCCTGTCAAGTTTGAGTGTTCCTTCAGAAAAAGACAGCTCATTAGCTGGGGAAGAGCGAGACCATGAGAAACCTGACTGGGGCATTGAATGGTAGCCCCACCTGTCCCTCCAGCAGACAGCCTCACTTCCTGATGCTCAATTAACCTCCTTCCATCCAGGCTCCCAGCAAAACAGCAATTATAACACAGCTTCTGCTCCCACCATCGGACATCTGTATATAATGACGAGATGTTCATGTCTCCGCCCTAAAAATGGGAGTCGTTGTCCCAAAGGTGGGAAAGGCAGGCGACAAGCTTAGGTCCAAAATAAGCCCATAGAAACGCATTGGGCTTATTTTGGACACATTTTGGCGAGAGTGAAACCTCTCGCTTCGCCTCTTCCTCTCTGCCTACACTCACATTCCCTACAATGGCCTTGAACCCCCCCCCCCCCCCTATGCTTTTCAAACCACCAAAGGCTAATGCTAGACAGAGAAGTAGAGAACAGAACAAGCCAGGCCCGGCCAGGCCACAGTCCTCTATACAATCTCCTAGCCATGGTATTCAGTTTCTAATACACACTGCAACAGACAATGTTCTCAGAAAAAAGTAAAAATTCCCCATTTCTACCTTTCTCCCAGTTTCTGCTTCTAGGACATGACCTGGGAGCGGGAGAGTCAAAAACATGTGCTCACAAAAGTAAACCTATGAGTGCAACAAATGTAACTTTTAGCCCTCCCCTGGGTTGCTTGTGTCTTGGCTGTCAGGCCCTTACAAAACAGGGGCGTTTGATACTTTACAAAGAAGCAAAACAGTGAAGAAATCCTCTATTATGTATATGAATCCCCTGTAGGAGGGTAGTGGGGGGGGGGTTACATTTTCAGGGAGTTAACAAAAGGTGTGCTGGGAAGGGACTCGCCTTGCGGACAGAACTGTAGGCTGCACAAGCTGAGAGAAACAACCTGCTTATGAAAAGGGAACTGGTATATTTGAAAGAGCGCTGGTGGCTGGACACAAGAGGCTAAATAAAGTGGGGGAATAATTCAGACAGGAAAACGTTGTAATGAGCTTGTTTTGCTCAGAGTCTCCCACCACCACAAGTCAAGTCCATGTATCATTTACATAAAGGAACGAGAGAGGGTCATATGGCCTGGTGTGTGATGAGAACCGCCGGTCTTTGGCAATCATTTCAAAATTTTTGCCAACTATTTCAAGTTCAAAGAGTGTTTCCCAGTGGGTGCAACAAGATTACCCCAAGGGGGAAAAAGCCAAGACAACAAAATTTGCATTTACATTTAAAGGTCTAATTTCTGACCATGCCGTGTATTTGCCTCCATCACCGGCGGCCCTTGATTGCAATTTGAATTTCATTTTTGTTTCTCATTTACATTTGGTATCCTTTACCTAAATGGTTTGACGGAAATCCAAGCTGTACTTAGTGTGTACACTGAGTCAAAGGGAAATGGTGAATGAGACAAAAAATACAAGGATCTGTATGTCTATGGTGCCCTATGAAAATGAAAGGATTGCCTGTTGCAGTGTCAACAAAGGCAGTTTACTACCATTAAAAATGGTTATGTTATCTTGGACATCAGAGTCTCTCAGAAGTCATGTCCCAACAGTGCAAAGATCTGTGATCCATTGAAAGACATTGTTTCTATAGACGTGGGCCATCATACATAGACAAGACGCAGACATGCTGGAATCCTTGAGGTTACGCTGAGATTTACCGCAGCACATAAACCAAAATGAAGATGAAAAAGGAGTTCAAAGATCAAGTGGCCCAGAAAAATATGGAAAAAAATAACATTTTAAAGGGCTCATATTTCCGTACGGGTTGTGTCGCTTACAGCGTACAACCCTACGGTGTCTGTAATGCGCCGTGAGCATTTTGTCAGCAGTGGTGACATTCTCATGACATCATCAGGATGACTGGGCCCAGAAGCCCCTTGTCTAATCCTCCAGCGCGCCCAGAAGCACACAGTGATGTCTCACTCAGGGGGGAGAGGGGAGTATGTAATTCACTGTGTCTGTATCACTGGCTCCCGATGGACAGACATCTCGGGCACAAGGATTGTCAGCCAAAAGCTAATTGGCGACTTCACTGCTTCAGAGACTTTCAGAAAAACATTGAGCTGTTCCAGAGGTGCAACTTCCTTCAGTCAAGTGTGTTGGGCTATAGATCAAACCGTCCGAGCACCCTGTGATAAAGTTGGTGCTGATAGCAAGCCGTCAGCTTGTCAGATCACTCTTGTTGGTAGATCTGAAACGGCTATCAGCACGAGGCCTGGCTTCTGTCAAATGCCATCACAGACCACAGAGGCCAAAATGCTTCACATGGTGAACAGCATTCCTATTATCTATACTACAGCTTTCTAAAAACTGCCATTGGATTCTTGGCTACTGGGTGTCAGTAAAGCTGAATATACATGGAATCTGTTTTATAGCATATGTTATATATATCTGTATATAGACTTAGACAAATTGGCAAACTAGCATATAGGGCATAGGCATAGTTATAAAAAAAATACAAAAGAGGAAAATCCCTTCACTTCAAGCTGGTAATGTCATGCGGAAAATCCACCTTTTTTAATGCTACTGCCCTGGGAACCCTACGGAGGCGGTTGGTGTCAAGAGAGCTGCATGACTTACCTCGATGATGTACAGGACAATGTTCTTGTAGAAGCAGTACAGGATACACTTGGATACGCGGTTGTAATTCCAGGCGCCGTGGACCAGCAAAAGATTCTTCAAGTATTTGAACTGCGTGGGAGGGCAGGGAGAAGAAGGGCCAAGATAAATGAATAACCTAAAAGTTGTAAGACTGGCATTATAGAGTTTATATACAGAGTGTTCCTGGACAACCCAGGACCGGGGCTATGCCTTGAGGAAAAAACTGCATTTGAGAAGAACTCTTAGATTAAATAAAGGAACAATCTTATCGTCGTTTGAAAGCAGGAAACTGAAGGGCAGTTGAGGGCAAGGTCTTCACGGATACATTTCAGGCATTTTTTGTCACAGTTTAATACAGCTTGGGCTTAGTTTTGCCTTAAGTTGTTGAAAAGGGAAAGGGGCAGAGAGGGGGTACACTCTCCCAGGGCTCCACATAATACTTTAATGGCTTTCTGATAAGCCTACTATTTGGGGCATGCGGCGGACTTCATATTCGTGTAATCGCTTGTTGATAACATTGATTAGATTGAGAAGGTTGCTCTTGGGCAATTGTTTTGTCTTGGTTACCGTCAAGCTTAGCTTTTACAAACAACACACATACTGTAACACTGATGTAGGGAAGTTCAACATCTCATCCTGTTTTCCAGTTCTATGGACCTTGAGTTCTATGTAACTTCTAAGTAATTTACTTCTATGTAATGCATAGGCCTTTATGAAGTCAAACGCCAACAGAATTGTGATTATTTGAACGGCCAAGTCGTCTTTCAAAGAAACAGCAGGGAGGAGACGGTATTCCTTAGCAAATTAAAGCATTTAAGGGGATCCTGCTCTGCTGACCCCGGGCACTCTGAGATCAAACGGCTTGTATTCCCACAGTCATGAGCTGATGACAGATGGAAAGCAGAGGCGCCTGGGCCCTGAACTTAATTCAGCTGATCTCAGAACAAGTTTCACAGTGCTGTTTGTACATCTCAATCACATAGAACTAGAATGTATTGCTGACCTCACAAAATTGATTTCCAAGTAAAAGGACAGTACTGCACTATAAATTATTTTCAGGTTGTTTAATGCTGAACTGTCTTCCTATGCAGCTATGATGCTACAGTCTATATAATCAATACATTGTCTGGAGTGAGTCTGGACAGGGCTGTGGCCTGTACAGTACAATTCAAGGAAACAACTTATGCAATTGCAAAGGTCGATTTTATTGCACAGTAAATTGCAGAAGGTACACTGTTACACGCCAATGAGGGTGAAACAACACGCCTGGAAGGTAATTCGATACGTTACTGAGATGCAACCTAAACGGATTAAATTAAGCCGTCTGCTTTCGTCATTCTGAATGTCATGTAGATAGATAGTGGGGGCACTTAAGACAAGACAGTCTCTGTCAGAGTAATCTGATGCCATGGAGACAGCATCGAGCTTTAGTGAACTAGTCTTGGCTCGCTCACAGACCCTGTGGCTATATGTACAGTGAGGCATAGAGAGCACATACCATGAAATAATGGAGAGACATGAAAACATGTAGCCATGATACAGTATATAAGCCCTGTCGCTTTTGTTACCGCCACAATGCTGCTTATGCAAGATGACTTTCAGAGATACTGGTTACTGAGATAGAATAATGCGTGTACATAAGGATTTTCAAGATGGGGTTTCTATATCAGTTCCTAACTGTGGCTATAGAATAAGGTGTCAACAGATGCCTGTCCTGCTACTGCTCACCTGGGTAAGTTAAGATGACCCATCTGATCCACTGATACTGGCACACTTGCCCAAAGTATTTTTTATTTATTTTACCTTTATTTAACTAGGCAAGTCAGTTAAGAACAAATTCTTATTTCAATGATGGCCTACACCGGCCAAACCCGGATGACGCTGGGCCAATTGTGCGCCGCCCTATGGGACTCCTAATCACTCCCAAAGTAAACCCCTCTAACCCTAACACTCCTTTCAAACTCCTCACCTGTGGGAGTAAGGAGTTGCCCCTAGACGGGGTCAGGTTGACATTTTCCCCACTAATGGTTAATGTTAGGCTTGGGGGAGGGGAAGCTGATCCTAGATCTGTACCTAGGGGAAACGTCCCTCTGGAGCCCTCACCTGTGCGATAGAGTAGTCGGAGGAGTTGGCGGCCTGCAGGCCCTCGTTGCCAGAGATGCCCACACCCACGTGTGCTGTCTGGATCATTCCCACGTCGTTGGCGCCGTCGCCGATGGCGAGCGTGATCACCTTCACCTGCTTCTTCACCATCTCCACCACCTCAGACTTCTGCAGCGGGGACACCCTAAAAGGAGAGTAGGACGTGATGCAGGACGTTAGAATGAGATGGGACATGATTTGTTTAACTGTCCGTGAAGCAGGACGTTAGAATGAGATGGGACATGATTGGTTTAACTGTCCGTGAAGCAGGACGTTAGAATGAGATGGGACATGATTGGTTTTACTGTCTGTGACGCAGGACGTTAGAATGAGATGGGACATGATTGGTTTAACTGTCCGTTTTCTTCATGTCTGCAAAACACATTTCACACTTTCAGCCATTTTCCAGAACTGACCAATCGAAGCGAGGTGCAGACATCTACACAATGCTGATTAATACAAAAGAAAGCATTCTGTAAAGTTCATCTCATAGTGCTTTCCTAATTCTGAAGAACAAAAAAGGGAGTTGCAAAGGTGGGTTGGTGCCGAGCCGACTAACAACAAAACACAAGGCCGAGGCTGTACTCGAAACTGAGACGAGGTCTTTGAAACAATGTCGCTTTAGGTATTACACAAGCAATTTATCTCATTTTCTGGATGATAATTCTTGACGACAGACATTCTCCTTCCCCGTGTCTGCGGACCTCATCCACCCCTGACCCCTGGCTGACCTCCCTGGCTGCCTGCGCCTGTAAAACCACTCGTTATGTGATGGATCTGCCACTTTCTGTGGTCTCTCCTTTTTCGAGCTCTCCAACTTTTACCCCTGAAATGACAGGCTGAGTCTTACAGGCTCCTGGAGCTCCAAGCTACAGAGCTTTCTCTGCCTTGGCCCAGGTCGAAGACATGGCATGCATCCAAAATGGCACCCTATTCCCTATATAGTGCACTACTTTTGACAAGGGCTCTATATAGGGAATAGGGTGCCATTTGGGACGCAACCCATGATGTACAGCTACAGTACAAAAACTCTCAAGAGAAGGTGTTGTAAACTGGATGTGGTGGTTAGGGTTAGCCAAACCCAGTGAGACAGGTTTATGTTTTTTCTATGTGCCTAAAGAGACCTCCTTGTTCATCTCCCGAGGTCTGTCAGCGCTCAGGGTGCTGTATAACGAGAGAAAGTAGCACAAAAAAAAGCTGACGTCATGTATTGGATCACGGCAGTGATGTCATGTATTGGATCACGGCAGTGATGTCATGTATTGGATCACGGCAGGGATGTCATGTATTGGATCACGGCAGTGATGTCATGTATTGGATCACGGCAGTGATGTCATGTATTGGATCACGGCAGTGTGGCACCTGTATGTAGTTTGTTGTTGTTCCTAAAAAACGTGGCAGTGATTTCTGTCCAGACCTTCTGAGCACTTCAGTACTTCCCTTTATTTATGCGGCCAGTGCAAATCAACACACGCAGCAGCTTCGTAATTCTAACGTTACCATTTTATATTTGACTACCCGACAGCACACAGAAATTGCTCTTGTAAAATACATGAGCTACACACTAAATGATTACCTTTCAGGACAGTGCATAAACCTTTGAATGGGCAGGTTTGTCATGATTTGCTCCTACGATACATTAGGCTAAATTTAATGCCAGCTGAACTAACCATTTTGGGATTCTCTGTACTTGGAGTCTTGGTTCTCAGTTCTCTCAACAGGAAACATCCAATGAGCGTCTGAATCGGAGTACAGTGTGGCTCTAACACATTTCGAACAGTAAACTTATTTAGTTGAAAGCATGTACTATGTACACACACTATAGTGTAACGCTGTTATAGGTGACTGGGCCTTACCTGCAGCATATCACAGCTTTACAGGACAAGGCGAGGTCTAGGAAGTACTGCCGTGCTCCAAACGTGAGGGCGTATTTTAGCGTCTTTCCGTCGATGATGAGAGCGAAATCATTCTCCTTGTAAAGGGCGTCTCCCAGCATTCCACAGTGGTGGCTGAGGGTCTCCCTGGTTGCCTGAAAAAGGTACACAGTTTCTCATCATTAGAACTATCTAGACAGAATACATGATACAAATTACAATGAAGTAAATTAAATATGGTTATCAATGTAATGCTTTTGAGAGAACACCATGCTCGGCAACCCTATTCTCCAGTGATTTCATTGACATCATCGATCCCGTTATTATTTTTACAGTGTTATTGTGACATATGGTAAAGATTATTCAAGCTTGCCAAGCCAATTTAGATTTGTTACAGATGATAGAACATCATGCAAGGATAGAACATAAGAAAATAAAAACACACAAAAACACATAAGGCATACTCCATTAGAAATGGTTTGATGGTTCATTTGGAAAAGCATAACTTTACACTGGCATTAATACCAATAGCATAGCAAAGAGAAAAAGTGGTTTCTACTCTCTCACGGCGGCAGTTCCATAATTTTGTTCTCAGCAACCAAGTACTGTACAGTCATCTGGGTTTACGAGCTATTTTTCAGGAATGTCCCGAGCCAGCTGAATTTGTTCAAACTGGTAGCCAGGAATATTTCCATATGCTGATTAAACCTGGACGATTTTAATCACTGCCGACTTGAATAATACGGATACTACATTTACCCCTCTGTTGGTTTTACGTTTCAAACTCAGAATTTCTCTTCAAATGGCAAATAGGGCCTTAAATAGGAGACTGTTATTCTAAGGGTTAGGGTGTGCTGGCGGATGGGTGGTGTTTGGCTTGGGAAAGCACTGAACCTCGATAGAATTTCCCCCATAAAGAGTGATTCCTCGGATCATCTGCTGGAGCGAAGGCTCGTAAGTAGGGGCTCCCGTGAGGACAGACACCCTAGACATATGTCATTGGGATCCGCCATCCTCTGCGTTTCATGTCGGAAACCGAGAAGCGCGTATGGGTCCCTGCTAGATACGATTTCCACAGATCTCAGGTCAGCGCTGTGCTTGAAAGCCCATTCGAAAGTCCTAAATTGTAACCTGGCTTGCGAGCGTCTTCGGAGGCCCCATCTTTTATAAGTCCCTAAATCAATGAGGGCTGGTAAAAAGATAAGCCCTTGCTCTCTCCACTCTCCGTTCTCTTACTAAGCTGCCGTATAGCAGCTGTCCTCCATGTTTGACCTGTGTTTTACATGCCTACTGGACAGAATATCCAGACTCCCAGCCAAGAGGCGATTACTAAAACCCCAAACCGAGCAAAAAGTTTGGGACGTGAATGGATGTATTCTCGAGTCGTGTGTGTGATATAGTGCTACGATGACAAGCGATGTTGAAATGCCATAAATATTGAGGATGGCCGGTAAGATTAAGTGCCCTCTAACAGGGGCGGCTAAGGCCAACATCCTGCACTCAGGAAAGCCCAGGATGGAGATTGGACCTAGTCGTGGTGACATCATCTGTGCATCTGGAGAGAAAACTTCTCCAACCATCTCCCAGATGCCAAACCCATCAGGAAATGAAACCCCAATCAAGGATCCATTTCCAAGAGTGACCGGAACAGATATGGATGTGCTTATAAAAGAGGGTTGTGAGGATTGCGAGCATGTGGTTTTGGGGCCATGGGCTTGGTTAACGGAAATAAGATATCAGACTGCTTAAAATAACATGGATGAAACGTGATCGCAGCTCTGGTAATATTTATTTGGGCAGTAGGATACATTGCATCTTCTAGAGCAGTGGTTCCCTAACTTTTTTACTCTGGCCCCACTTCCATTATTGGGGATCAACATTGTCCTGTATATTGTCCTGTATGACTAACAGCCCATAACTAAGAAGTGACTGAAAGGATTGTAAGGGGAACTCAAAGAAGGGCGGAAAGTCGCCCTGTTTGCCCATAGGAGTGGTAGACTCCGGCAGACTGGTGTGGTCTGAAGAGTGAGGTCAGTGTGTGAGACTCCCAGGTATCCGCGTCTGGGCGTGTGCGAGAGCGAGGGTATAAACTGGGTTACGAGACCTAGGTGGGCTGTTCCACCCGAAGGTGGTCACACCTAACGCATTGAACAGATGGCTCGGCCGGGCACGAGCATTATGAAATGCGGGAGTGACCTAGTGGTCATGAATGAGGCTTGGGAGGGGTCCGTTGAGGAGGGTTAGATACCTAAGGGCACTGACGGGGCCATGCAACCCTCTCCTGGCATAACAAAGCTCTGAAACCCAAGCTTGAAGGACAATATTTGGAGAGAAGGGCCTCAGGTTTCAAAGCCGACTGACCGACCGAGAGAGAGATGAAGAGAAAGAGAGATGGGGGGGCTAAAGAGGTAGAGAAATTGAACAAGAGAGAGGAGACAGGGAGGAGTGCAGCTGTCAGGACTTCTCCACATGAGCGTGCCCATCCCCTATCGGGGCCATAAAACAGCACACAGGCTTTCAAGCGCAGTGTGAGTGTGCGCTGGGGGAACAGCTACATACTACAGTGAGCATACTATCACATTTGATATCGGTATTCATCCTGGAACAAAAAAGAGAGATTCCTAATAGGGAACACTAATGTATGGAAGCCTGTGTACAGTACTGACTTTGTAAAGTATATGTCTGGGAATGTATGTGTTTGGATACAAGTGATTTATCACAAATTCATGATAACCAACCCACAAACAGTGCAGCCATTTGCTCAAGTAGGGTACCCATTCCCCCCCATTTCCTCTGAGGTATTTTAGTGCTAATGCTACTTGTCTCCTCCTAAAGCCTCTTTGTTATGGCTATACTGACCAGTTTAGCCTATGTGACTGGGTTGTGTTTGGTTTAGGAGTGGCTAATCAAGACTTTGAGCTCATTGTTGATGCAACTCTTGAGTGATGTAACAAACATGACACACTTGACAGGGATTCCGAGTTGGAGGGCATGTATCCATTAGTCTCGTACAGTTCTATACAACCTTGGACTGACCCAAAGAGGGGCATATCCGACCCAAAGAGGGGCATATCCGACCCAGAGGGGCATATCCGACATACACAGATACATAAAGCACACAGACATATGCACATCCGTGCACACACCAACATCGACAATCCACGCAGGCACACTTCCCAGTTAGTGTGTTCTTCAGGCCCAGTGTTCAGTCCATGGCAGCTACACCAGTCAGTGTGTTCTTCAGGCCCAGTGTTCAGCCATGGCAGCTCCACCAGGCAGTGTGTTCTTCAGGCCCAGTGTTCAGCCATGGCAGCTACACCAGTTAGTGTGTTCTTCAGGCCCAGTGTTCAGCCATGGCAGCTCCACCAGTTAGTGTGTTCTTCAGGCCCAGTGTTCAGCCATGGCAGCTCCACCAGTTAGTGTGTTCTTCAGGCCCAGTGTTCAGCCATGGCAGCTCCACCAGTCAGTGTGTTCTTCAGGCCCAGTGTTCAGCCATGGCAGCTCCACCAGTCAGTGTGTTCTTCAGGCCCAGTGTTCAGCCATGGCAGCTCCACCAGTTAGTGTGTTCTTCAGGCCCAGTGTTCAGCCATGGCAGCTCCACCAGTCAGTGTGTTCTTCAGGCCCAGTGTTCAGCCATGGCAGCTCCACCAGTTAGTGTGTTCTTCAGGCCCAGTGTTCAGCCATGGCAGCTCCACCAGGCAGTGTTTTCTTCAGGCCCAGTGTTCAGCCATGGCAGCTCCACCAGTCAGTGTGTTCTTCAGGCCCAGTGTTCAGCCATGGCAGCTCCACCAGGCAGTGTGTTCTTCAGGCCCAGTGTTCAGCCATGGCAGCTCCACCAGGCAGTGTGTTCTTCAGGCCCAGTGTTCAGCCATGGCAGCTCCACCAGTTAGTGTGTTCTTCAGGCCCAGTGTTCAGCCATGGCAGCTCCACCAGGCAGTGTGTTCTTCAGGCCCAGTGTTCAGCCATGGCAGCTCCACCAGTCAGTGTGTTCTTCAGGCCCAGTGTTCAGCCATGGCAGCTCCACCAGGCAGTGTGTTCTTCAGGCCCAGTGTTCAGTCATGGCAGCTCCACCAGGCAGTGTGTTCTTCAGGCCCAGTGTTCAGCCATGGCAGCTCCACCAGTCAGGCATCAGGCAGAGAGGCCAGTGATGTCTGAGAAACAATGAGCCGTGGCACACACAAATTCTCCTCTGTCCTTCTGGTTTGACCCCTGACCCGTCTCTGCACTACCACCCACTCCACACAGAAACCTTCAGATAGGCTTGACTCAAGCTTTGATTCATTTACATTTTTTACATTTTAGTCATTTAGCAGACGCTCTTATCCAGAGCGACTTACAGTTAGTGAGTGCATACATTTTTCATACTGGCCCCCCCGTGGGAAACGAACCCACAACCCTGGCGTTGCAAGCGCCATGCTCTACCAACTGAGCTACAGGGGACTATTTGACCATTTTACATTTATGGCCCAGTATAGGGGTTTAGATAAGCTTGCGCAAATCACATTTTCACGTAAATCATTATTGACGGCAATGGGAGATTTGCGCAAAAAGGTCAGTCAAGCAAGTGGATCTTAAGTCAGAATAACGCCCTGATTTTTAGAAGTGTGAGAAAGACTGATTGTATAGCAGTGAACGTGTGTACCTTGCTCTCCATTCCCTCTCTTTGACTAAATCAGTCAATGAGCCAAAGTTGAAGCTTCAGCTAATGACCCCTTCCTTACTAGCTACTTCTTGGATAACAATTTTCACTTCGGGTCTCGGGGGGGGATGGAAGATTTAGCACAGAAGAGATCTCAGGTCGCTTTCAAGCCATCTAAAACTTCACCCTCTCTTTGAGAACTGTTTCTAAACACGGAAAAGGGGGGGAAAGAAGCGCTCCAATTACTCTCGGGCACCACATGAACTCCAATTCCCAGCAGCACCGCCGACAGGACCTCTGTTCATTGAGCCCGAATGAAGGGGGGGAGAGAATTCCTCCATATTTTACAAGCAAACTTATAGGCATCTGCTGAGCCACAGGAGAATGGGAGCTGACATTTCAAAATGGGCTCATCCGCGTTTTATGCTTTATGAACGGCGGTGTCTGAAACTTCTCCTCTCTACCTCCATTTATCACACTAACCAGTCGGGTTGACAGAGTGAAGGTCGTCCGTCATCGCTGTATCCCCTCCTCCATCCCCTCTGTGCATCCCTCACTCCAGCTCCGACACACTGGGCACACACAGTGAGCGCTTCCTCCTCCTCCACTCTGTTCCCTCCTTCCTCCCCTGGAGGACAGCAGCAGTGGTCCCTTGTCCTCCTTTACATCCCTCCAACAACAGACAAGGCTCTCCCTGCTGACCTCTTCCCTCTCTACTGCTCTACTTTTAAAGGGGTTTAGGGTGGGGTGGAGGGGTCCCCCCCGGGCCGTCTTCTGTTCTTTTCTCCATCTTGCAGAAGGCGGCATGCTGGGCTCTGGCTATGTGCTGACCGACATCCCCCTCTCCAACCAGCCCACTAGGCCCTGTCAGAGCCCCCAGACCCAACCCAGTCTTCTTCCCAGCCCCATCAGAGTCCCCAGTCCCAACCCCATCAGAGCTCCCCAGTCCCCAACCCCCCCATCAGAGCTCCCAGCCCCAACCCCGACCCCCTCAGAACCCCCGGCCCTGTGACTAGCTGGGGTTTACTTTACTACAACCCTCAGTTTATACTTTACTTTACTACAACCCTCTGGATGGAGGCATCTTTGGACCAATCAGATCAGCTCTGAAAAATATCTGACATGGAAAGATCTGATGTGATTGTCAAAAAACCAATTAGTGGAAATAAGATCAGAATTGGACTGGCTGTGTAAACGCAGCCTATGGGCTTGAAGCATATGCACTGTGGTCACTAGAGGCAACTAACACAACAGGGCGGGTTGTTACAGGAGAGTCCGAGAAGCCACTGACAGAGAGAAGAGAAAGAGAAGGAAAGACTAAGGAACAAAGAAAAATCAGTGTTTCCCCTAGGCGTGGTAGTGGGCGTGGCGGCCAAGGGCGCTGTCTCCGATTTTAAAGGCCCTCCCCTTGGCCGCCACACCAAGGGCGCTGTCTCTTGGCCGCAGAGACAAAATTGTGCTGTTTTAAAGCAAATGTTCTGCAATTCTACACATTTTGCCATGACTTATGCCGTGTTCTTATGCGATCTGAGTGACTCGAACATTATAACAAAATCAATGTTGGCCCCCATTACTGTCTAGTTTTTTGGGGAGTGATTGTTTGTTCTCAAAGATGATCTTATAAAAAAATATATAGCTCCATTATCTTTTCTACATACTTTCTATCTGGTTTTAGTCATTGAAGTTTACACAAAACTTATTTTCAGCATTTTTTGGAGTGGCGGCAACGATTTAGCAATCAACTAATGAGCTAACAGTAATCAACAGCACTAGCTGATTGGGGACACCGGGACACACACAGAGCTCGGTCTTAAGCGAGATTACACTGTCAGGCATTTGTGGTGGTGACTTACCTTTGGCACAAAGAGCGTGTTTGGACATTCTTAGTGGGCTCCAGGGTACAAACCAGAACAGATTGGTGTTTTTGTTTCACACAGGGATGGATTAGGATTATCATTTGAGAGGGAGCGTTGCGATTTGGATTATGCTGAGTGACAGCACTACTAACATAATAACTAAAAACATTTGAAAGTCCAATGCAACAGTTCAACAAAATAGCTTTTTAAAGGTGCAATCTGGCATTCAAAAAACAACAAAGCAGTCACCACTGGAGAAATGTAACCACTCTTAAATTCATAGACTGCGCTATACCATTAATTAAAAATTCCAAACATGGATGTATCAATCCCAGACTGTCCCTTTAAGGATATTATGGGACTATATACAGTCCACACCGTAAGTCTACAGGTTGCTAAAGTATAGCGCATTCCCTGTTCAATTAAAGTGATTTTGTAGATTATTATTAATAACATCTCATCAGTCTGCCATACTCACGTCAAGTGTGTCTTCGTTGATCACCAGCATGCCCATGTTCTTGGTCAGAAGTTTGCAGGAGTGTCCTGGAGAGGGTCAAGTGAAACAAGAGATGAGCTGCAATGTCCGTTTGTGCAAACATCAAAAACATACTGAAGTACAGTATAAATTTTTTTTCACACTGTCATATATTATATTGGTAACACTTCATTTGGATAGTCTGTAGAGCATCTACAGATGGACTATATATATATATATTTTTTTTTTAAATTATTTTTTATTTTTATTTTATTTTTTAAATGTTTATTTCACCTTTATTTAACCAGGTAAGCCAGTTGAGAACAAGTTCTCATTTACAACTGCGACCTGGCCAAGATAAAGCAAAGCAGTGCGATAAAAACAACACAGAGTTACATATGGGGTAAAACAAAACAAAGTCAAAAATACCACAGAAAATATATATACAGTGTGTGCAAATGTAGCAAGTTATGGAGGCAAGGCAATTAATAGGCCATAGTGCAGAATAATTACAATTACTATTAACACTGGAATGATAGTGCAAATAGAGATCCTGGGGGTGCAAATGAGCAAAATAAATAACAATATGGGGATGTTATTGAGTTGAGTGGGCTAATTTCAGAAGGGCTGTGTACAGGTGCAGTGATCGGTAAGGTGCTCTGACAACTGATGCTTAAAGTTAGTGAGGGAGATAAGAGTCTCCAACTTCAGAGATTTTTGCAGTTCGTTCCAGTCATTGGCAGCAGAAAACTGGAAGGAATGGCTGCCAAAGGAGGTGTTGGCTTTGGGGATGACCAGTGACATATACCTGCTGGAGCGCATACTACGGGTGGGTGTTGCTATGGTGACCAATGAGCTAAGATAAGGCGGAGATTTGCCTAGCAGTGATTTATAGATGGCCTGGAGCCAGTGGGTTTGGTGACGAATATGTAGTGAGGACCAGCCAACAAGAGTGTACAGGTCACAGTGGTGGGTAGTACACTGCTCAAAAAAATAAAGGGAACACTAAAATAACACATCCTAGATCTGAATGAATGAAATAATCTTATTAATTACTTTTTTCTTTACATAGTTGAATGTGCTGACAACAAAATCACACAAAAATGATCAATGGAAATCAAATGTATCAACCCATGGAGGTCTGGATTTGGAGTCACACTCAAAATGTAAGTGGAAAACCACACTACAGGCTGATCCAACTTTGATGTAATGTCCTTAAAACAAGTCAAAATGAGGCTCAGTAGTGTGTGTGGCCTCCACGTGCCTGTATGACCTCCCTACAACGCCTGGGCATGCTCCTGATGATGTGGTGGTCTCCTGAGGGATCTCCTCCCAGACCTGGACTAAAGCATCCGCCAACTCCTGGACAGTCTGTGGTGCAACGTGGCGTTGGTGGATGGAGCGAGCCATGATGTCCCAGATGTGCTCAATTGGATTCAGGTCTGGGGAACGGGCGGGCCAGTCCATAGCATCAATGCCTTCCTCTTGCAGGAACTGCTGACACACTCCAGCCACAAGGTCTAGCATTGTCTTGCATTAGGAGGAACCCAGGGCCGACCGCACCAGCATATGGTCTCACAAGGGGTCTGAGGATCTCATCTCGGTACCTAATGGCAGTCAGGCTACCTCTGGCGAGCACATGGAGGGCTGTGCGGCCCCCCAAAGAAATGCCACCCCACACCATGACTGACCCACCGCCAAACCGGTCATGCTGGAGGATGTTGCAGGCAGCAGAACGTTCTCCACAGCGTCTACAGACTCTGTCACGTCTGTCACATGTGCTCAGTGTGAACCTGCTTTCATCTGTGAAGAGCACAGGGCGCCAATGGCCAATTTGCCAATCTTGGTGTTCTCTGGCATATGCCAAACGTCCTGCACGGTGTTGGGCCGTAAGCACAACCCCCACCTGTGGACGTCGGGCCCTCATACCACCCTCATGGAGTCTGTTTCTGACCGTTTGAGCAGACACATGCACATTTGTGGCCTGCTGGAGGTCATTTTGCAGGGCTCTGGCAGTGCTCCTCCTGCTCCTCCTTGCACAAAGGCGGAGGTAGTGGTCCTGCTGCTGGGTTGTTGCCCTCCTACGGCCTCCTCCACGTCTCCTGATGTACTGGCCTGTCTCCTGGTAGCGCCTCCATGCTCTGGACACTACGCTGACAGACACAGCAAACCTTCTTGCCACAGCTCGCATTGATGTGCCATCATCCTGGATGAGCTGCACTACCTGAGCCACTTGTGTGGGTTGTAGACTCCGTCTCACGCTACCACTAGAGTGAAAGCACCGCCAGCATTCAAAAGTGACCAAAACATCAGCCAGGAAGCATAGGAACTGAGAAGTGGTCTGTGGTCCACCACCTGCAGAACCACTCCTTTATTGGGGGTGTCTTGCTAATTGCCTATAATTTCCACCTGTTGTCTATTCCATTTGCACAACAGCATGTGAAATGTATTGTCAATCAGTGTTGCTTCCTAAGTGGACAGTTTGATTTCACAGAAGTGTGATTGACTTGGAGTTACATTGTGTTGTTTAAGTGTTCCCTTTATTTTTTTGAGCAGTGTTTATGGGGCTCTGGTGACAAAACGGATGGCACTGTGATAGACTACATCCAATTTGCTGAGTAGAGTGTTGGAGGCTATTTTGTAAATGACATCGCCGAAGTCAAGGATCGGTAGGATAGTCAGTTTTACGAGGGCCTGTTTGGCAGCATGAGTGAAGGAGGCTTTGTTGCGAAATAGGAAGCTGATTCTAGATTTAACTTTGGATTGGAGATGCTTAATGTGAGTCTGGAAGGAGAGTTTACAGTCTAACCAGACACCTAGGTATTTGTAGTTGTCCACATACTCTAGGTCAGACCCGTCGAGAGTAGTGATTCTAGTCGGGTGGGCGGGTGCCTGCAGCGTTCGATTGAAGAGCATGCATTTAGTTTTAATATACATACTATAAGTAACATTTAAACTATCTACTACCCTAACTCTAACCCTTATTCTAACCCTAGCCCTAACCCTTATTCTAACCCTAACCCTAGCCCCTAACCCTTATTCTAACCCTAACCCTAGCTCTAACCTTTACCCTCACACTAACCCTAACCCTTATTCTAACCCTAATCCTTATTCTAACCCTAACCCTTATTCTAACCCTAGCCCTAACCCTTATTCTAACCCTAACCCTAGCCCTAACCCTTATTCTAACCCTAACCCTTATTCTAATTCTAACCCTAACCCTTATTCTAACTCTAACCCTAGCCCTAACCCTTATTCTAACCCTAACCCTAACCCTTATTCTAACCCCTAACCCTTATTCTAACCCTAACCCTAGCCCTTATTCTAACCCTAACCCTAGCCCTAACCCTTATTCTAACCCTAACCCTAACTCTTATTCTAACCCTAACCCTAACCTTAGCAAGCAGTTGCTTATCAACTGAGAGTTTGTTGATAGTATGACCATTTGTAGATCTATAGAAGGACTAGCTGGACTATCCAAATAAAGTGGCCATTACATAATTATACATCATGATTATCTTTCCAAAATAAACTAAATACTGAATGAAGGACAAATAATAGGTTATATGTACTCCCTCCTGAAATTGAGCTCTCTGTTTGCTTTCCCTTTGTTATTAGCTGAAGTCACGATGGGGTGAAAAATACAAATTATTGGAGCTTCATTAGGTGCACAGCGACAGTCTGCAGTCCATCAGTCGAAAAACTCTGAGTAATGCTCTGGGTTACATGTCTGTTTCCTGGTTTAAGGGGGCAGTTACACCATTGTTTGTTCAACATGGTTCCCCAGGGAGCGGCCATTTTGTCTCTGGTCAGGGTCACCAGAGAGGTGAGAGATAGTGGCTCTCAGGGGGATCCAGTTATGCCCAGCCCCCCCCAAAAATGGGCCTACCTAAATCCTCAGGCTAATTCCTGAGCAATATCAGAGTGGACCATCTGCGAAGTGACCATACAAACATTGTGGGCTTGGTCGAGCTTGGAATTGACTCCGGTTTCATTTTGAGTGTTTACCATAAAACCTCCATCTGCATGTATAAGTGACGATGTATAAGTGAGTGTTTGGGTGTGAATGTCTAAGAGAGAGAGAACCACACACACACACACACCACACACAGGGGGTCTGTATGAGGAGTGTGCAGGTTTCACCTCCAGAGACTCAAATCAACACCAAACAGGGTGGGGGTCTGGACCTGGTGCAAACTTGCCAAAAATCTGCCAACATGTGTAAAATGTCTCCCCACCTCTATACCCCCCTGTCAACCCTGCAACAACCCCTAGCTTAATTTGTTTATCTTAAAGGATCAGTTGACTCTGACCAAACTGGCCTTTTTATTCACCAGAGAAAGTAAATTCCTTGTTTTTTGGAGCCTGGCGGAACTAAACAACAGTGCTCTCCAAGGAGTTGGGGAATGTGAACGGCGTGACACCGTGTCACACGGTCATCCCCAGAGGTTTGTTAGTTGTTTGGGGGGGTAAGTAATTAAAGCTGCACAATGTGGTCATAGTGGCTTCTCAAAATGGCTGCCGGGGCAGTGGGCATTAGGAGGGAGGGTGGGGGTGGCACTCCACTAAATCACTGGGCATGGTGAGGGGAGAGCGGGTTGTTAGGGTAGGCCAGTGTTTGCGTTGGCATTTCGGAGGGCGTTTGCCCTTTCATGTCTGCCTTCCAAGAGGGGACGAAGCCCCCCTCAGCCAAGACTAACATGGTGCTGTTTGCCTGGCCGTCCTCGCTCCAGTGATGTGCTGGGAGACTGAATACACTCTGAACACACTACACCAGCGGGCAGTGTGCTTTCATGGAGTCGTAGTCCAAGTGGTCCTGCCTAAAGCATCAAGGGCAGCTTTAGAGTCAGGTCACTCAATGTGATATCATTGCTGATTCTGCCAGGGCAGAGACGTGCATAAGGTTTCAGAATGGTTGTGTCACCATGTGTCTTTTCCAGTGGACTGGATTACAGCTGTGACAGTTCTCTCTGCGCTCTCAGCCTCTAGAGCAGCAGAGGTCAACGCCAAACAGGCTCAACCATGTTCTCAGCACCCGATGAATTTTAAACGGGTAAACAGAGTCCGGTTTTACAAGCTCTTATTAAGGTTGGCGTGAGGTCCTTTTCACAGCGTGGGCCGCCACAGGCCGGGAGATGCTGGAAAAAGAGAACACGGAGAACGGGACAGTCTTGTTCGCCACGAAAGGTGTTCCACAAACCTAGGCAGCAGTTTTTATTTTATTTTCAGGAGGAGGATGAGGAGGGAGGAAAGCGGTAAAAAACAAAGTAAATATTCAGAGGCGTTTTACAGAGCGACTCAGTCAAGCGGCGGACCTGTAAAAATGCTTCCTGTGAGCTTGTAGCGCACGCAGGCCCCCACACAGCTGGCCAGTGGGGCACAAAGGGCTGATTCAGCCCCACGGTAGGTAGGTGGCCACAAATGGACACCTTTTAATATCTATTTTCCCGGACGCTCCTGTAAATCGAGTTTGCTGTTTCGAGGTCTGCGCGTTTTTATCAATTTTGCTATTACGGCCACATCTGAGGGCTTGGTGGCAACGCGCTTTACATGCCCAACGTCAGCTCTCTGGCGCATTGACAGCAATGGTAATGGTGGAACCCCTGTGGACACCAGGTATGTACCAACTTTTATAGAGAAAATCTGCTTGTCAATAGACCGTTTTGCCCCATGGCCACAGTGCTGACTGAGATTTGCTCCATGGCCACAGTGCTGACTGAGATTTGCTCCATGGCCACAGTGCTGACTGAGATTTGCTCCATGGCCACAGTGCTGACTGAGATTTGCTCCATGGCCACAGTGCTGACTGAGATTTGCTCCATGGCCACAGTGCTGACTGAGATTTGCTCCATGGCCACAGTGCTGACTGAGCTTTGCTCCATGGCCACAGCGCTGACTGAGCTTTGCTCCATGGCCACAGCGCTGACTGAGATTTGCTCCATGGCCACAGCGCTGACTGAGCTTTGCCCCATGGCCACAGTGCTGACTGAGATTTGCTCCATGGCCACAGTGCTGACTGAGATTTGACCCATGGCCACAGCGCTGACTGAGATTTGCTCCACGGCCACAGCGCTGACTGAAATTTGCTCCATGGCCACAGTGCTGACTGAGCTTTGCTCAGTAGACATTTTATTACAAAACGTTAGGGAAGGATGTCATTTTGATGTTTTGCTTTTTGATGTTTCTGGTTCACTTTACTGTTTGTGGAGTCTTACCAATGTTGATGGCCGTCTCCTGCTTGTCCCCGGTCAGGATCCAGATCTTAATGTCGGCCTTCATCAGTGTCTCAATGGTCTCAGGCACCTTGTCCTGGAGCTTGTCCTCGATGGCTGTGGCCCCTAAGAGCTGCAGGTTCTAGAGAGGGAGAGAAACATGAGGGAACAAGGAGGAGATAATGTAACACAAGACAAGGGGCTTTTACAACGTCAAGTGTCAGTGAAAAATTAGGGGCTGGACTGTGTCACTCATTCGCTCCCTGTTTTTCTCTCCAGGAAGCTGCTCTTGTTTTCCCACCCTCCAAAACTGGGCCATGGATTGGGGGATTTGGGGTTAGGGTGGATAGGGGGGATAGAGGGGAGAATGAGATTTAGGGGCCAATTGTAGTCGTAGCACAGTGGTTGTGAGAGAAGGAGAGAGGGCCGTCACAGGCGAGGGACATGCACACAGGGTTCATGTGTTTTTTTAACAGGAAGCCAGGCGGGTCTTTGGGACGGGGCCTGGGGGGACCTGGAGGGGCCAGATGCTTTGACAGGGCCCCGGAGAGGAGAGAGGAGAGGCAGCTGCAAAGGGGACGCCAGAGTTGGGCCGGGGGTGCAACGGTCAACCCTCCCCAAAGAGCTGTGACCTAGGCCGGGCTGCAGTATATCTTTAACCCACTGCCCATATGAAACCACGCAGAGGGGGGAGAGGTGCGTGTGTTAATTAATGTTGTGACTTCCCAGTTACATTGTCTTGACATTGACACAATGTTACAGTGTTTGCTGGGAAGAACCAACATGAAATCCTGATTTGTGCATTAAATGACAACACGTTAAGTAAATCATGGACATTGTTCATCGTTTACACAGGCTAACTGCAAGAGGACGGCTGAACATACACCAGAACATGGACTAAATAAACTAACAGGCATAAGGTGTGTTTGTGCAGTATTTATTTCAGCATGTATTTCATTGAAGCCCAAGTAGTCGCTGTTCCAGCGTAGCTTGTCAAGAGAGTTCTGCAAAAAGATGTGATGGTGTGCTTTCCTTTTGATTTGCTCTGAAAGGACATGGTGATCTCACAGGTCCTAAACCCCAACACCACTGCTACGTCCCAATGACATCTCGTTCCTCATGAAGTATGCACTTGTTCACTTCCCTTCACTGATTTGAAAGGGATGACTGGTATAAGAAATGTGGTGGAAACTGCCAATAGCCCATGCCTCCACTAATCCCATGCTTTTAGGAAGTGAGGAAGTGCACACTTCAGGAGAAAGGACAGATTGGGACATGACCCTTCTCTCAGAGATAATGTAAATCTGGCCTCATTCAGACTGCCATCTAGTGGTCTTATCCCATCCCTGCACCCTCCTCACTCAGAACCTTTACACTGTGATCGAGTCCATTTGTTCTGGGATTCGCTGAAGGTCTGGCAGCAGTGGAGCCCTTGATCAACAAGCCTATGATTGACTAGCACTTCAACACCACGTTTCTCACAGAGGAACTGACTGTTGCTTTGCAGTACTGGGCCGACCCAACCTGCCCCATACATTCATTAAGCCCCATAGTATACACTGCATCCAACCATCCAAACCCATTCGGATTATATTTCCGTGCCCCATATAGCACCATATTCGCTATTTAGAGTACTACTTTCTGGTCAAACGTAGTGCACTATATAGGGAATAGGGTGCCATTTTTAATGCAACACATGTATGCTTTCAGCACTGGCCCGACATTAATCAAGTTGAAGGTCTGAATTCAGTTCTACCGATGTAGGTTCAGTGAACCCCTGGAAAGAGGTTTAAAATGGATGCCTTGTGTGACGTTGGTGTCCTTAGGGTGAACCTAGTAGGCAGGTAAGTCAACAACTAAGTCATTATCTTGTTTGCAGAGCTGATTGCTCAGTGCTGGAATCTCTTGGCTGATATGAGTTCACATATGGTTCTGGGTGTGGGTTGGGGAAGGTGGGGTAGAGGTAGTGGTAGAGGCAGGGGTAGAGGTAGAGGTAGGGGTAGAGGTAGAGGTAGAGGTAGAGGTAGAGGTAGGGGTAGAGGTAGTGGTAGAGGCAGGGGTAGGGGTGGTAGAGGCAGGGTAGAGGTATGGTAGTGGTAAGTAGGTAGATGAGGCAGGGGTAGAGGTAGGGGTGTAGTGGTAGGGGTAGAGGATAGGTGGTAGAGGTAGGGGTAGTGTAGAGGTAGGGAGTGGTAGGGTAGAGAGGTAGAGGTAGGGGTATGGGTAGTGGTAGGGGTAGGGGTAGAGATAGTGGTAGGGTAGGGTAGAGGTAGATAGAGATACGTGTAAGTAGGTAAGTTGGTAGAGAGCGGGTAAAGGACTAGATGGTAGAAAAGGGTAGTGGTAGAGGTAGAGGTAGAGATAGGGTTAGAGGTAGAGATAGTGGTGGGAGGTAGAGAAGTGGTAGAGGGTAGGGTGGTAGAGGTAGGGTTAGAGGTAGGGTGAGTAGTGGTAGAGGTAGGGGTAGTGGTAGAGGATAGGGTAGGGGTTTGGGATGGGTAGTGGTAGAGATAGTAGGTAGTGGTGTAGAGCTAGGGGTAGAGGTAATGGTAGAGGGAGAGGTAAGGTGTGGAGTGGTAGAGGTAGAGATAGTGGTAGAGGTAGTGGTAGGGGTAGTGTTGAGATAGTGGTAGAGGTAGGGGTAGTGGTAGTGGTAGAGACAGTGGTAGAGGTAGGGTTAGATAGTGGTAGTAGGTAGGGTAGAGATGGGTAGAGGTAGAGATAGAGGGTAGTGGTAGAGATAGTGGTAGGTAGAGGTTAGAGATAGTGGTAGGGTAGAGATGGGTAGAGGTAGTGGTTAGAGGTAGAGATAGTGGTAGGGTAGAGATAGTGGTAGAGGTAGGTAGTGGTAGTAGGTAGAGATAGTGGTAGAGGTAGGGGTAGAGATAGTGGTAGAGGTAGAGATAGTGGTAGAGGTAGAGATAGTGGTAGAGGTAGGGGTAGAGATAGTGGTAGAGGTAGGGTAGTGGTAGAGGTAGGGGTAGGTAGAGATAGTGGTAGAGGTAGGGGTAGAGATAGTGGTAGAGGTAGAGATAGTGGTAGAGGTAGGGGTAGAGATAGTGGTAGAGGTAGGGTTTAGAGATAGTGGTAGAGGTAGGGTAGGATAGTGGTAGTGGTAGGGGGTAGTGGTAGAGGTAGGGGTAGAGATAGTGGTAGAGGTAGAGGGTAGTGGTAGAGGTAGGGTGGATAGTGGTAGAGGTAGAGGTAGAGATAGTGGTAGAGGTAGAGATAGTGGTAGAGGTAGGGGTAGTGGTAGAGGTAGGTTGAGATAGTGGTAGAGGTAGGGGTAGTGGTAGAGGTATGGGTAGAGGTAGGGGTAGAGATAGTGGTAGGGTAGGGGTAGAGGTAGTGTTGAGATAGTGGTAGTGGTTGTGGTAGTGGTAGGGGTAGAGATAGTGGTAGAGGTAGGGGTAGTGGTAGAGATAGTGGTAGGGGTAGTGGTAGGGGTAGTGGTAGTGGTAGAGGTAGTGTTGAGATAGTGGGTAGTGGTTAGGGGGTAGTGGTTGGATAGTGGTAGTGGTAGGGGTAGTGGTAGAGATAGTGGTAGGGGTAGTGGTAGGGGTAGGGGTAGAGATAGAGGTAGAGGTAGGGGTAGGGGTAGGGGTAGGGGTAGTAACTTCAAACTGAGAATAAATATGTGCTCGCTGTTTCCTGGTGGTGTACAGGACTATTGAGGGGACAGGGGAAGTGATGGATAGGGGTTTGATGGGGAGTGATGTGGTGTGTTTGCGTGTGCAAGCGTGTGTGTGTCTGTGCATGCACGAGTGTTCACATACGTGTGTGTGTGTGTGAGAGTGACTGACCATCTCGATGAGCTCATAGCTCTCCTCCAGTTTGAGGGCTCGGTTCTGCAGGGCGGTGGCGGCACGGTGGAACACCTCCAACCACTGCTGATAGGATGACTCGCTGATCTCAGCCACAGCAAAGCACAGAGTGCGCAGCCCTGAGACACAACGGACATACATCATCACTTAACTCACCTGAGTAAACCCAGAAGGCCTACATAACCTACTAATGACACAACGGGTGTTAACTTACGGCGAGTGACATTACTCTGCATTTTCTTTATATTACACCATTTAAAAAACCTGTGGATTATAAACTGCAGAAACGAGAAATATGCTAATTTTAGCACAGGGGATATGTTGATGTAATTCTGCCAACCTCTCACAAGGGGGTCGTATATTCATAGAGGTAAAGCAATGAAGGAAGAAAGGTTTTTGAAGTGTTTGAATAGGTCCTGTGTGTGTTAGGTAGCTAGACAGGGGGAGCTGTTCCCTCACTCACCCTCTGTGGCAAACTGCTCCAGGTGTTTCAGAGTGATTTCTTTATACCTGGAGCTGTCGGCCAGACGGTCGTAGACCACCGTGTCCTGTTTAAACAGCACAGTCATCACATATACTGTCTGGACAGCCAGCAAATAACTACCATGTAAAACAATCAACCATGTAAAATCACTGGCTACCAAACACCACCGGTGTGTCAACACAAATATACAGTGAGCTCCAAAAATATTTGGGACAATGAATTTTTTGTTGTTGTTTTGGCTCTGTACTCCAGCACTTTGGATTTTAAATGATACAATGACTATGAGGTTAAATTGCAGACTGTCAGAAATTACATCACTTTTTGTACATAGTCCCCCAATTTTAGGTGACCAAAAGTATTGGGACAAATTCACTTATATGCGTATTAAAGTAGTCAAAAGTTTAGTATTTTGTCCCATATTCCTAGCACCCAATGACTACATCAAGCTTGTGACTCTACAAACTTGTTGGATGCATTTGCTGTTTGTTTTGGTTGTGTTTATGATTTTGTGCCCAATAGAAATTAATGTTAAATAATGTATTGGGTCATTTTGGAATCACTTTTATTGTAAATAAGACTATATTTCTAAACACTTCTACATTAATGTGGATGCTACCATGATTAAGGATAATCCTGAATGAATCGTTAATAATGATGAGTGAGAAAGTTACAGACGCACAAATATCATACCCCCAAGACATGCTAACCTCTCACCATTACAATAACAGGGGAGTTTAGCATTTTTTGGGGGGGTATGATATTTGTGCATCTGTAACTTTCTCATAGAGTCAAATCAACAAAATGTGTCAATGTCCCAATACTTTTGGAGCTCACTGTCTATGAATACATGTTCATGAATATATGTACTGTACGTCTATACCGAACACCCAATAGTTAGACAGCAACTATACAACTGCAGTACTATTTCTATAGAAACTTGAAAAGGAGAGGCATTTCAGTATCTCTCCTGCACATGTTCCAATGTTGCCTTTTAATTCCTATTACAACATTGTTCTGTCTTCTTCATGTGCAAATCAAAAATAAAATAATGTGTGATCTTGATATCAGATCTTTTGTCTGTTACAGGAATAATTGTTTATTTCGGAAGAGAAGCAATAAGAGAGAAGCATTTGACACCAGCGCTGTGCTGTGGTAATGATGGTCTGTCACGTGCGTTGCCATGGAGATGGCGAGAGAGGGGGAGCTAGAGAGAGAATGAAAGAGGAAAAGAGCGAGCGCAAGAGAGAGAGAGAGAAAAAGACAGAGAGAGCTAGAGAGAGAATGAAAGACAAAGGAAAAGAGTGAGAGAGCGAGGGAGGGCGAGAGAAAGAGAGAGAGAGCTAGAGAAACACTCACAGCTCCTTTGCAGTAGAGGCGGATCTTGCCAGATGGAGTACGTATGATGACTGACATCCTCTTCCTAGTGCTGAGAGACAGAAAACCATCACAATGTTAAAGCTACGACAGAACATTACACCTACTGTAACTAGCAGAGACAAAACATTATCACCTACCGTAACTAGCAGCGACAGAACATTATCACCTACTGTAACTAGCAGCGACAGAACATTATTACCTACTGTAACTAGCAGCGACAGAACATTATCACCTACTGTAACTAGCAGCGACAGAACATTATCACCTACTGTAACTAGCAGAGACAAAACATTATCACCTACTGTAACTAGCAGAGACAAAACATTATCACCTACTGTAACTAGCAGCGACAGAACATTATCACCTACTGTAACTAGCAGCGACAGAACATTATCACCTACTGTAACTAGCAGAGACAAAACATTATCACCTACTGTAACTAGCAGAGACAAAACATTATCACCTACTGTAACTAGCAGAGAGAACATTTGTGAAAGTAAAATATATCACACCTTTGTATCAAGCTAAATTCACTAAATTAAAACAAGTCCATCGAGAACATATGCCTGGGTGGTCGCATAAAAATGAATCTACTGTAAAATGTGTGGCAAGGCTGTTGCATTGCCAACATGGTGTCATAATTACCACTGTCAGCCTCCTGTATTTTAGTGGCACCTCACCACCTGCATGCCACTTTGACCGAGGCACAGTACCTGACCATGTTTAAACATCTAAATCACGTGTCAAAACTCAGTCCACGGAGGGCTGAGTGTCTGCAGGTTTTCACTCCTCCTTTGTACTTGATTGATCATTTAAGGTCACTGATTAGTAAGGAACTCCCCTCACGTGGTTGTCTAGGTCTTAATTGAAAGGAAAAACCAAAAGCCAGTAGACACTAGGCCCTCCATGGAATGAGTTTGACACCCCTGATCTAAATGAAGACATCTGCAGTTCATTTAGAAGTAGAACAAACAGATTCTGAGGGAACTGTAAGAGTGGATGGGAGTAAATGAAGCCGTACCTGGTGAACTCTAGAACATGGAGCAGTTCATACTTCTCCTCGGCTCCCAGCTGAGAACAAAACGACAGAGACAGTCATTGCACTTTAAGTAATTGACTCTAAACTAGCCTTCCTTTGCCTCACTATGAAAGTAACCCAACGTTCTCCTTTTGACCCGTCTAATCTTAATTGAACTAAACAGTTCTCAGTCAGACCCGCTCCACTCGGATGCGGCGAGTAAGCAAACTTAATTTGTTTCCTTAATTGTCGAGACCACCTGGTACAATTGCCGATGATTACATGTACATTGAGGAGCTTTCGCAGGCCTAATAAAAGGTTAAGGACCTAGACAAATGTCTTGGAAATGTCGTACTTTGGAGAAACTTTTGAAAAGGGCTTTGGCCTCCGTGCCGCTCTACCTCCTCCCTAAGTGCAATTATCAGGTTAGCCAATTACAGGAAACAAAGTGCCCTTAGGTTAGAGGAGGACGCGTTCACACGCAATTGCGTAACCTTAATCTAATTGAGTCTAATTTAGAAGAGTGGTTATTTTCCACCACGGGGCCTGTGCTCTAGCTACATGCTCCATGAAAGACCTCGGTCCAAATAGTAGGATCTTTCTTTTTTTTTTGGAATGGTCCCAGAAGTACAAACTCTACCCATCTGGCAGTCCAGGCAGGCTCAGCCAAACGCTCAAAGGAGCGCTCTATGTATTGCATTATGTGGATTATAGTGCATTGATTTCGTGTTACTTTTATGCTGATCTCACAAAATTAATCTCCATGTAAATGGACAAAAAGAAAAAGTATTTGTATCGTCCTGAAAGAAAACAAATCCTACTTGAACATAGGTCTACTCCACAGTACATTGGTCCGATCCTCAAGGATCTCCCGTCTCTTACAGAGGATGCGTCCCAAACTCTATTCTCTATATAGCGCACTGTTTTTGACCAGGGCCCATAGTGGTATGGTCAAAAGCAGGGCACTATCAAGGGAATAGAGTGCCACATTTTGAGATGAAGCCTCAAGATATTTAATCAGACGGAGGCCTCAAACTGCTGTGGGATTGTCATAGCGACAAGTTCCTCTCCTCCTTGATGACATTTTAAAGTGAGAGAGAGGACTCGTCTGAGCTCTGAGGGACAATAGAGGTGTTCTGTGGTTACACAAAAAGCACTGTGTCTGTCCCTGTGGTGGCTAAAGAAAGACTTTCATTCCTAGCTATATGGTGAAAATAAATAAGGCAAATGATTGTGTTATATACGGGATGTGGAGCTATTTCTCCATTGAAACACATTGCAATGCTATTTCTGCTAGGGATGGGCATTTGAAATGATTACACTATTCGAATAATATCATGATATACTATATATACAAAAGTATGTGGACACCCCTTCAAATTAGTGGATTTGGCTAGTTCAGCCACACCCATTGCTGACAGGTGTATAAAATCGAGCACACCGCCATGCAATCTCCATAGACAAACATTGGCAGTAGAATGAGCTTATTGAAGAGCTCCGTGACTTTCAACGTGGCACCGTCATAGAATGCCACCTTTCTAACAAGTCAGTTATGCACATTTCTGCCCTGCTAGAGCTGCCCCGGGCAACTGTAAGTGTGTTTATTGCAAACGTCTAGGAGTAACAATGGCTCAGCCACGATGTGGTAGGCCACACAAGCTCATAGAACGGGACCGCCGAGTGCTGAAGTGCGTAGCGCGTAAAAATTGTCTGTCCTCGGTTGCAACACTCACTACCGAGTTCCAAACTGCCTCTGGAAGCAACATCAGCACAATAACTGTTCGTCAGGAGCTTCATGAAATAGGGTTCCATGGCCGAGCAGCCTCAAACAAGCCTAAGATCACCATGCGCAATGCCAAGCGTCGGCTGGAGTGGTGTAAAGCTCGCCGCCATTGGACTCTGGAGCAGTAGAAATGCGTTCTCTGGAGTGATTACTCAAGCTTCACCATCTGGCAGTCCAACGGATGAATCTGGGTTTGGCGGATGCCAGGAGAATGCTACATTCCCCAATGCATAGTGCCAACTGTAAAGTTTGGTGGAGGTGGAATAATGGTCTGGGGCTGTTTGTCATGGTTCGGGCTAGGCCCCTTAACTCCAGTGAAGGGAAATCTTAACACTACAGCATACAATTCTAGACGAATGTCAACTTTGTGGCAATAGTTTGGAGAAGGCCCTTTCCTGTTTTAGCATGACAATGCCCCTGCGCACAAAGCGAGGTCCATACAGAAATGGTTTGTCGAGATCGGCGTGGAAGAACTTGACTGGCCAATTTATCATACCATCTGCTAGTGCCCGTCTTGACTGCATCAAATCGTTGTAAAGAAGCTAGCTAGCTACAGTAGCCAGCTAAGTTAGCCAGCTAGCTAGCTTAAGTAGCAAGGCTAATTGAGGCCGTTTTGCTGCACTCCCTGCACTGGTCTACAACAAATCCATTTATATGAAACAACATCCTACCTGTTGGTTGATCATTGTAGCCTACTCATTCTCATTATGCCAACTTAATTCTGTAATTTTAATTCCATTTTGCATTGATTAGAAATCTCCCACTTTACATGGAGCCTCTGACTGTAGTGCCGCTGTGATTGGACAGTAACAAGGTAAACGTGTGAAACGTGTGTAGGCTCTTTTATTTTTATGGATCACACTCATAAAAACTGTCATAAAACTGTTGTTTTGCTAAAATGTAAAGGTCTGTCCTGTAGCAATACCATATAGATCATTTTAAAGTCATTTTAGACAAAGCCTTTTCATTGTTAAAATAGGCCTATATTTTTTTTCTCCCAGGTAAAAGAAACCTAACGTCTGTTCAGATATTCGGATAACAATCAGAGCGCTTTATTAATACAACGCTCTGCACACGGTGACAGTAGTCTTTCAGTACAGGGCAATGTTTGGCAGCCCTACCTCAAAACGTTTGCACACAAGTGGTACTGTAGATGGGGTAGGTTACCACCTTACAATGTAGAGAGCTTTAAGAGCTACAGAACAGCAGTGAAAGGCACAATAGCATTGTTTTCATTTTCATTATCACAATTTATTTTGTTTATACTGTAGAAATAGAATCACTAGAATAAGAATCGTATTTCTATGGATTTTACTGCATCTACTCACCGCTTGTATGATGACACTGTCTGGGGTTCTACCGGAGAACACAAAGCCCAGGTTTGCCGCTGCTCTCACCAGAGCCCCTTCGTCTGTAGAACCAGAGGAGAGCCCAAGTTAGGGTTGGAGACCAGAAGTGCACCAGAACAGCAAAACAAGTATTACATTAGAGACGCATGTGATGCCACCACTAAAAAGTGCTGACCAAGACAGTTGGGGTCTAACTAAGCACTTGGAAGAATTTAGTTCTAGACCTCCAAAATGATCATACGGTTGTTTATAAAAGAGTGCTACAACCACCATTAGTACATATGGTGGTTGTAGCACAAAAGGCACCTAAAGGACTCTCAGACCATGAGAAAAGTATTCAGACCCCTTCCCCTTTTCCACATTTTGTTAAGTTACAGCCGTATTCTAAAATGGATTAAACATCTTTTCCCTCATCAATCTACACACAATACCCCATAATGACAAAGCAAAAACAGGTTTTTAGATTTATTTGCAAATGTATTACAAATAGAAAACAGAAATACCTTATTTACATAAGTTATCAAACCCTTTGCTATGATACTCGAAATTGAGCTCAGGTGCATCCCTGTTTACAATGATCATCCTTGAGATGTTTCTACAACTTGACTGGAGTCCACCTGTGGTAAATTAAATTGATTGAACATGATTTGGAAAGGCACACACCTGTCTATATAAAGACCCTGAGTTGACAGTGCATGTCAGAGCAAAAACCAAGCCATGATGTCGAAATAATTGTACGTAAAGCTCCGAGACAGGATTGTGTCGAGGCACAGCTCTGGGGAAGGGTACCAAAAAAGTTCTGCAGCATTGAAGATCCCCAAGAACACAGTGGCCTCCATCATTCTTAATTGGAAGAAGTTTGGAACCACCAAGACTCTTACTAGAGCTGGCCGCCCAGCCAAACTGAGAAATCGATCGGGGAAGAAGGGCCTTGGTCAGGGAGGTGACCAAGAACCCGATGGTCACTCTGACAGAGCTCCAGAGTACCTCTGTGGAGATGGGAGAACCTTCCAGAAGGACAACCATCTCTGTAGCACCCCACCAATCAGGCCTTCATGTTAGAGTGGCCAGATGGAAGTCACTCCTCAGTAAAAATATGAACGAAGCAAAGTACAGAGAGATCCTTCATGAAAACCTGCTCCAGAGCACTCAGGACCTCAGACTGGGGCGAAGGGACAGCCAAGACAACGCAGGAGTGGCTTCGGGACAAGTCTCTCTGAATGCCCTTGAGTGGCCCAGCCAGAGCCCGGACTTGAACCCGATCTAACATCTCTGGAGAGACCTGAAAATAGCTTTGCAGCGACGCTCCCCATCCAACCTGACAGAGCTTGAGAGGATCTGCAGAGAAGAATGGGAGAAACTCCACAAATACAGTTGTCCCAAGCTTGTAGCGTCATACCCAAGAAGACTAGAAGTTGTAATAGCTGCCAAATGTGCTTCAACAAAGTACTGAGTAAAGAGTCTGAATACTTATGTAAATGTGATATTTCCGTTTTAATGTTTTATTACATTTACATTTTAATAGACACTCTTATCCAGAGCGACTTACAGTTTTTTAGTGAGTGCATACATTTTCATACTGGCACCCCGTGGGAATCGAACCCACAACCCTGCCGTTGCAAACGCTTTGTCATTATGGGGTATTGTGTGTAGATTGAGGAAAACAATATATTTAATCCATTTTAGAATAAGGCTGTAACGTAACAAAATGTTGAAAAAGTCAAGGGGTCTGAATACGTGTGTATGTACATTTGAAGTCGGAAGTTTACATACACCTTAGCCAAATACATTTAAACTCAGTTTCACAATTCCTGAGATTAAATCCTAGTAAAAAGTCCCTGTCTTAGGTCTGTTAGGATCACCACTTTATTTTAAGAATGTGAAATGTCAGAATAAAATAATGATTTATTTAACCTTTTATTTATTTCATCACATTCCCAGTGGGTCAGAAGTTTACATACACTCAATTAGTATTTGGTAGCATTGCCTTTAAATTGTTTAACTTGGGTCAAACGTTTTGGGTAGCCTTCCACAAGCTTCCCACAATAAGTTGGGTGAATTTTGGCCCATTCCTCCTGACAGAGCTGGTGTAACTGAGTCAGGTTTGTAGGCCTCCTTGCTCGCACACGCTTTTTCAGTTCTGCCAACACATTTTCTGTAGGATTGAGGTCAGGGCTTTGTGATGGCCACTCCAATACCTCGACTTTGTTATCCTTAAGCCATTTTGCCACAACTTTGGAAGTATGCTTGGGGTCATTGTCCATTTGGAAGACCCATTTGCGACCAAGCTTTAAACTTCCTGACTGATGTCTTGAGATGTTGCTTCAATATATCCACATCCTTTTCCTTCCTCATGATGCCATCTATTTTGTGAAGTGCCACAGTCCCTCCTGCAGCAAAGCACCCCACAGCATGATGCTGCCACCCCCATGCTTCACGGTTGGGATGGTGTTTTTCGGTTTGCAAGCATCCCCCTTTTTTCTCCAAACATAACGATGGTCATTATGGCCAAAAAGTTATATTTTTATTTCATCAGACCAGAGGACATTTCTCCAAAAAGTATGATCTTTGTCCCCATGTGCAGTTGCAAACCGTAGTCTGGCTTTTTTATGGCGGTTTTGGAGCAGTGGCTTATTCCTTGCTGAGCGGCCTTTCAGGTTATGTCGATATAGGACTCGTTTTACTGTGGATATAGATACTTTTGTACCTGTTTCCTCCAGCATCTTCACAAGGTCCTTTGCTGTTGTTCTGGGATTGTTTTGCACTTTTCGCACAAAAGTAAGTTAATCTCTAGGAGACAGAACATGTCTCCTTCCTGAGCGGTATGACGGCTGCGTGGTCCCATGGTGTTTATACTTGCATACTATTGTTTGTACAGATGAACGTGGTACCTTCAGGCGTTTGGAAATTGCTCCCAAGGATGAACCAGACTTGTGGAGGTCTACCATTTTTTTTCTGAGGTCTTGGCTGATTTCTTTTGATTTTCCCATGATGTCAAGCAAAGAGGCACTGAGTTTGTGTATGTAAACTTCTGACCCACTGGAATTGTGATACAGTGAATTATAAGTGAAATAAACTGTCTGTAAACAATTGTTGGAAAAATTACTTGTGTCATGCACAAAGTAGATGTCCTAACCGACTTGCCAAAACTATAGTTTGTTAACAAGAAATGTGTGGAGTGGTTGAAAAACAAGTTTTAATGACTCCAACCTAAGTGTATGTAAACTTCCGACTTCAACTGTATGTATGCATGTATGTATGCATGTATGCATGCAGGTACAGTGGGGAGAACAAGTATTTGATACACTGCCAATTTTGCAGGTTTTCCTACTTACAAAGCATGTAGAGGTCTGTAATTGTTATCATAGGTACACTTCAACTGTGAGAGACATTGTATGATTTTTAAGTAATTAATTTGCATTTTATTGCATGACATAAGTATTTGATCACCTAACAACCAGTAAGAATTCCGGCTCTCACAGACCTGTTAGTTTTTCTTTAAGAAGCCCTCCTGTTCTCCACTCATTACCTGTATTAACTGCACCTCTTTGAACTCGTTACCTGTATAAAAGACACCTGTCCACACACTCAATCAAACAAACTCCAACCTCTCCACAATGGCCAAGACCAGAGAGCTGTGTAAGGACATCAGGGATAAAATTGTAGACCTGCAAAAGGTGGGATGGGCTACAGGACAATAGGCAAGCAGCTTGGCGAGAAGGCAACAACTGTTGGCGCAATTATTAGAAAATGGAAGAAGTTCAAGATGACGGTCAATCACCCTCGGTCTGGGGCTCCATGCAAGATCTCACCTCGTGAGGCATCAATGATCATGAGGAAGGTGAGGGATCAGCCCAGAACTACACGGCAGGACCTGGTCAATGACCTGAAGAGAGCTGGGACCACAGTCTCAAAGAAAACCATTAGTAACACACTACGCCATCATGGATTAAAATCCTGCAGCGCACGCAAGGTCCCCCCTGCTCAAGCCAGCGCATGTCCAGGCCCGTCTGAAGTTTGCCAATGACCATCTGGATGATCCAGAGGAGGAATGGGAGAAGGTCATGTGGTCTGATGAGACAAAAATAGAGCTTTTTGGTCTAAACTCCACTCGCCGTGTTTGGAGGAAGAAGAAGGATGAGTACAACCCCAAGAACACCATCCCAACCGTGAAGCATGGAGGTGGAAACATCATTCTTTGGGGATGCTTTTCTGCAAAGGGGACAGGACGACTGCACCGTATTGAGGGGAGGATGGATGGGGCCATGTATCGCGAGATCTTGGCCAACAACCTCCTTCCTTCAGTAAGAGCATTGAAGATGGGTCGTGGCTGGGTCTTCCAGCATGACAACGACCCGAAACACACAGCCAGGGCAACTAAGGAGTGGCTCCGTAAGAAGCATCTCAAGGTCCTGGAGTGGCCTAGCCAGTCTCCAGACCTGAACCCAATAGAAAATCTTTGGAGGGAGCTGAAAGTCCGTATTGCCCAGCGACAGCCCCGAAACCTGAAGGATCTGGAAAAGGTCTGTATGGAGGAGTGGGCCAAAATCCCTGCTGCAGTGTGTGCAAACCTGGTCAAGACCTACAGGAAACGTATGATCTCTGTAATTGCAAACAAAGGTTTCTGTACCAAATATTAAGTTCTGCTTTTCTTATGTATCAAATATTTCTGTCATGCAATAAAATACAAATTAATTACTTAAAAATCATACAATGTGATTTTCTGGATTTTTGTTTTAGATTCCGTCTCTCACAGTTGAAGTGTACCTATGATCAAAATTACAGACCTCTACATGCTTTGTAAGTAGGAAAACCTGCAAAATCGGCAGTGTATCAAATACTTGTTCTCCCCACTGTATGTATACACACACAGTGTTTAAAGTGTATTTTATATTGTATTATACAGGGCGCATTTGGAAAAGAGACCTAGATCTCAATCTCTACCACTGCCTTGGTGCCTGTTGAACACGACCCTGCATTCTACCACTTCAAAACATCTAGCCTTGGTGGATCAAAGCATATGAAGTCAGATTGAACTTGTATAATATAATAGAGAATACTCAGGGTTAATGTGCATCCTTTAAGTATTGTTCCGATGTCTGTTCCACTACTGCACAAAGAAATTGCTGTCTTTTGTATACTGGTCACGTCCCAGTTTGTGTCACTCCCATCTTCAATAAGGTATTGATGTCATTAGTTGATATCGATGTGATGGTGTTGTCATTATATGTCTGCAGACGATACGGAGAGGTTTGAGGTGCGTGGCAAACAATGAGACTTAGGAACACAGGAAATTGAGGCAGGACAAGGTAAGTGGTCGCCTAGAGACGGCCATTTATTCAACGTCAACTGGAGATCCTCTGCTCCTGTTCTCTTATATTTGATTGGTAGATTGATTGACGGACGTTTGGTGACTGACGTGGCATTTCAAGCTATCATAAGGCTGTCAAAAGGCTATTAAGAGCAGTTGTAAGGCTGTCATAGAGCAGTGCTGTGAGGTCAGGACTGGTGGGCCTTACCTGGCGAGGCAGCCTGGTAGACGATCTTATTGTCGGTGTGCTCGGGGACGGCCGTGTGACAGATGGCCAACATGGTCATGAAGTCCAGGATGACAGGAGCTGTGGGCTGCAGAGGGAGGGGAAGAGAGAGAAAGAGAGCGAGAGGGGGAGGGGAGCAGGGAGAATGAGAAAGAGGAGGGAGCGAAAGAGAGAGAGGGAGAGAGGACACATCATTAGAGAGCATGACCAATTACCACTGGTAAATGATGGCTCACCTAACAACCACAATGTACACACAGTCACTTCCAAGACACCTGCAAATAATAGCCTTTATTGACCGACTGATGATCAAACTGAATATGATGTTGGAAATCTATCTTTCCTATATCTGTGATTTCTTTATGGGAATAACTCTACCCCCAAAAGGACTAGCGATGATGACAAGTATATACATTAGCTCCACAAGACTGCTTCGTCATATCCTCTGTTCCTTCAAGAGCATATGTAGTAGCATATGCTGAGTTCATGAGATGCTGCTCAGGGCTGGGTTACATTTGACATGTTAGTCATTTAGCAGACGCTCCTATCCAGAGCGACTTACAGTAGTGAGTGCATACATTTTCGTACTGGTCCCCCGTGGGAATCGAACCCACAAACCTGGCGTTGCAAGCGCCATGCTCTACCAACTGAGCCACACGGGACTGAGCCAAATGACACCCTATTCCTTACATAGAGCACTACTTCCAAAAACAGTGCACTATAATAGCATAAGGAATATGCTGCCATTTGGTATGCAGCCAGGGTTAAGGAAGAGAGAGTGGAGGAGCTGGAGGGCTGGTTGATGCTACTGGGGCTGGTTGATGCTACTGGGGCTGGTTGATGCTACTGGGGCTTCCATCTGGGCTGGGATTGAATGAACACCAGCCCAGTGTCAGTGACCTCAGTTGGGCCAATAATGACAACAAACCCCAAAAGTAACAGCATGGATCTACAGTAGGGTAGGTCAACAGCATGGATCTACAGTAGGGTAGGGTTAGTCAACAGCATGGATCTACAGTAGGGTTAGTCAACAGCATGGATCTGCAGTAGGGTAGGGTTAGTCAACAGCATGGCTCTACAGTAGGGTTAGTCAACAGCATGGATCTACAGTAGGGTTAGTCAACAGCATGGATCTGCAGTAGGGTAGGGTTAGTCAACAGCATGGCTCTACAGTAGGGTTAGTCAACAGCATGGATCTGCAGTAGGGTTAGTCAACAGCATGGATCTACAGTAGGGTAGGGTTAGTCAACAGCATGGATCTACAGTAGGGTGGGGTTAGTCAACAGCATGGATCTGCAGTAGGGTTAGTCAACAGCATGGATCTACAGTAGGGTAGGGTTAGTCAACAGCATGGATCTACAGTAGGGTAGGGTTAGTCAACAGCATGGATCTACAGTAGGGTGGGGTTAGTCAACAGCATGGATCTACAGTAGGGTAGGGTTAGTCAACAGCATGGATCTACAGTAGGGTAGGTCAACAGCATGGATCTACAGTAGGGTAGGGTTAGTCAACAGCATGGATCTACAGTAGGGTGGGGTTAGTCAACAGCATGGATCTGCAGTAGGGTTAGTCAACAGCATGGATCTACAGTAGGGTTAGTCAACAGCATGGATCTACAGTAGGGTTAGTCAACAGCATGGATTTACAGTAGGGTAGGGTTAGTCAACAGCATGGATCTACAGTAGGGTTAGTCAACAGCATGGATCTACAGTAGGGTGTGGTTAGTCAACAGCATGGATCTACAGTAGGGTAGGGTTAGTCAACAGCATGGATCTACAGTAGGGTGGGGTTAGTCAACAGCATGGATCTACAGTAGGGTTAGTCAACAGCATGGATCTGCAGTAGGGTTAGTCAACAGCATGGATCTGCAGTAGGGTTAGTCAACAGCATGGATCTGCAGCAGGGTTAGTCAACAGCATGGATCTACAGTAGGGTTAGTCAACAGCATGGATCTACAGTAGGGTGTGGTTAGTCAACAGCATGGATCTACAGTAGGGTTAGTCAACAGCATGGATCTACAGTAGGGTTAGTCAACAGCATGGATCTACAGTAGGGTAGGGTTAGTCAACAGCATGGAGTGGTTAGTGAACTGGCTTCCAGTAGAGAATACCGTACATATTCAGAATATATGGAAAACAGGTATTGGTACTGACCCTGTATATAGTTTACTATGGGTTTTCTTATTTTATATACAGTGCATTCGGAAAGTATTCAGACCCCTTGACTTTTTCCACATTTGTTATGTTACAGCCTTATTCTGAAATGGATTAAATCGTTTTTTCCCCCTCATCCATCTACACACAATACCTCATAATTACAAAGCAAAAACAGGTTTAGAAATGTTTGCAAATGTATTAAAACAAAAGAAACGGAAATATCACATTTCTATAAGTATTCAGACTCTTTACTCAGTACTTTGTTGAAGCACCTTTGGCAGCGATTAGACAAGTCTTCTTGGGTATGACGCTACAAGCTTGGCACACCTTTATTTGTGGAGTTTCTCCCATTCTTCTCTGCAGATCCTCTCAAGCTCTGTCAGGTTGGATGGGGAGCGTTGCTGCACAGTTATTTTCAGGTATCTCCAGTGATGTTTGATCGGGTTCAAGTCAATGCTCTGGCTGGGCCACTCAAGGACTTTCAGAGACTTGTCCCGAAACCATTCCTGCGTTGTCTTGGCTGTGTGCTTAGGGTCGTTGTCCTATTGGAAGGTGAACCTTCGCCCCAGTCTGAGGTCCTGAGCGCTCTGGAGCAGGTTTTCATCAAGGATCTCTCTGTACTTTGCTCCGTTCATCTTTCCCTCGATCCTGACTAGTCTTTGCCGCTGAAAAACATCCCCACAGCATAATGCTGCCACCACCATGCTTCACCGTAGGGATGGTGCCAGGTTTCCTCCAGATGTGACGCTTGGCATTTAGGCCAAAGAGTTCAATCTTGGTTTCATCAGACCAGATAATCTTGTTTCTCATGGTCAGAGTCCTTTAGGTGCCTTTTTGGCAAACTCCAAGTGGGTTGTCAAGTGCCTTTTACTGAGGAGTGGCTTCCGTCTGGCCAATCTACCATAAAGGCCTGATTGGTGGAGTGCTGCAGAGATGGTTGTCTTCTGGAAGGTTCTCCCATCTCCACAGAGGAACTCTGGAGCTCTGTCAGAGTGACCATCGGGTTATTGGTGACCTCCCTCCCTGATTTGGTACCCTTCCCCAGATCTGTGCCTCGACACAATCCTGTCTCGGAGCTCTACGGACAATTCCATCGACATCATGGCTTGGTTTTTGCTCTGACATACACTGACAACTGTGGGACCTTATATAGACAGGTGTGTGCCTTTCCAAATAATGTCCAATCAATTGAATTTACCACAATCAAGTTGTAGAAAGATCAAGGATGATCAATGGAAACAGGATGCACTTGAGCTCAATTTCGAGTCTCATAGCAAAGGGTCTGAATACTTATGTAAATACGGTATCTGTTTTTTATTTTTAATACATTTGGAAACATTTCAGAAAAACGTGTTTTCGCTTTGTCATTATGGGGTATTGTGTGTAGCTTGATAATCCATTTTAGAATAAGGCTGTAACGTAACAAAATGTGGAAAAAGTCAAGGGGACTGAATACTTTCCGAATGCACTGTGTATATATAAAAACATTTGTATTAGTTATACTATTTTGATATTGATTACTGCACTGTTGGGTAGAGCATGTAAGTTAAGCATTTCACTGTTAATTGTGCATGTGACAATAAAACTTGAAAACCGTAAAGGATAATATTTTCTTTTAAAAAACTGTGTGCTTGCTTCAGCTCTCTGAATACAGTACATATCAATAATATAAAATTAAAGCCTTCACTTCTGTACCTGTTGTTCTGACAAGATGTCTATCAGCTACCCCTTATTTGTACCATATCATATGAAAACCTCAAAGAAGGACTCACAGTTATAAAAAAAGAAACGCTACGCATTTGATTACTGCTGCTTTTCTCATTATTGTCCTCGGGTCCGTGACGCAAGCTCTTTGAAGAGATATGGCCAGGCGGGGAACAGAGGAGCGATGAAAGAGAAAAACCGGAGAAAAATCAAAGGCCTTCTTCCAAATGAGAGTACACAGAGGCTATTACAGACCAGGTGGCTGTTTGGCCGCTCCCTGTCACAGCAGAATGCTAAATCGGGTTTGGGTGACAGGTAGGGCTCGCTACAGGAGGGGGTGTGTGTGTGTTGTTGTGTGTTGTTTGTGTGTTGTGTGTGTGTGTGTGTGTGCGTGCGAGCATATGACAGAACAGGGTGATGGTCACCTAAGAGGAGAGAGAGGGCACTACAGACAGCTCGAATGTTCCGATTAGATGTGACAGCTAATAGGACCGACACGACAGTACTGGCTCGGCCCACAGCCCCGTGGGCGCCTCTGTAGCCTAATCTGTGTCATGGCGCCAGTGACGGACACTCATTGCTTCGGACGTGACAGGTGCTGGAAGTTTAGCGGGACTTGCAGGAAGACGTGTAAAGGGATTCTGCCTCCGTCTCCCTGCCTTCTATCTCGGAGCACTAAGCAAACCAACCAACCAGACACACAGCCTGCATCCCAAAGGGCACCCTATTGCCCTTTATAGTGCACTACTTTTGACCAGAGCCCATAGGGTGTACTATATAGGGAAGGGCTGGGAATTGCCAGGAACCTCACGATACAATATTATCACCATACTTCGGTGCCGATACGACATGTATTGAGACTCGATACTGTGATTCTGTTGCGACTAGATGATCTATTCCATGTTCCAAACGTATTGCTCACCATGTGTCTGCTGCAGAGGGACGAGAGGGAGCCATGAGAACTAGTTTTGATCAGTCAGGGAAATAAAAATGCTGAAAACTAATTGGCTTCCTATTTAAAAAGAAGATGGAGAACAAGCTATGAAGGAAAGATGCTGGGGGTTTTGGTGCAGGTACAGCCAACTAGGGCAAAAATAATATTGCGATATTGTCAAAACTATACGATATATAGTTACAAATAATATACCGATATGTAACTGTATCGATTTTTTCCCCCCTCACTAATATAGGGAATTGGGTGCCATTTGGGACAGCTAGACTGACCACT